AAATGACTCCAGCTGAGGGAGAAGTAGGTGTGGAAAGACGCTCAGAGAAGACAAAGAGGGGGAACTGAGGGGCCCCGGAGGGGATGGGAAACTGGGTGGGGAAGGTGGTGAGGGGGACTGGGGCCAGGGCGATGAGAAGGGACAGGGGACATGCAGTGGGAGGGGACCGGGTGGAAAGTGGAGAGTGTGTGTGTGTGTGTGCGGTTCCTGAGAAGGTAGAAGGGAGCCTGGAGGAAGGTGGTGATGGGAACCTGGGGGAAGGTATTGAGGGGGCACTGGTGGGTGTGAAAGGAAAATGAGCAGAGGGCAATGGCAGGAAGTGTGTATGTGTGTGCATGTGCAGTGTGTGTGCATGTGCAGTGTGTGTGCATGTGCAGTGTGTGTGTATGCATGTACAGTGTGTATGCATGTACAGTGTGTGAGCATGTACAGTGTGAGTGCATGTACAGTGTGTGTAGTGTGTGTACAGTGTGTGTGCATGTACAGTGTGTGTGCATGTAGTGTGTGTATGCATGTACACTGTATAAATATACAGTGTGTGTATGAATGTACAGTGTGTGCATGTACAGTGTGTGTGCATGTAGTGTGTTCATGTAGTGTGTATGTTTACAGTGTATGCATGTACAGTGTGTGCATGTAGTGTGTTCATGTAGTGTGTACGTGTACAGTGTGTGCATGTACAGTGTGTGTGCATGTACAGTGTGTTCATGTAGTGTGTACGTGTACAGTGTATGCATGTACAGTGTGTGTGCATGTACAGTGTGTGTGCATGTACAGTGTGTGTGCATGTACAGTGTGTGCATGTACAGTGTGTGTAGCGTGTGTACAGTGTGTGTGTACAGTATGTGGGGGGTCATAGAACAACTTGGGAGAGTCAGTTCATTCCTTCCACCATGTGGCTCCTGGTCTCAGGGTTGACTGAAGCCTCCTGTCTCTGCCTCCCGAGTGCTGGGATTAAAAACACACCATCATGAGGCTCTGTTTTTATTTTTTAAAAGAGAACCTTTATTTTATGTGTGGGTCTTTGGCTGCACGTCTGGGCACTATGAGTGCAGTGTCTGAGGAGGCTGGAAGAGGGCGCTGTGTCCCCTGGATCTGGAGTTACTGAAGCTGTGAACTCCGTGGGTGCAGGAAGTCGACTCCTGGCCCTCTGCGAGAAGCCAGTGCTCATAACTGCTCAGTCGCCTCAACTCAACAGCTCCCAAAGCAGAGAGTTTTCACATGCGCAACCAAGCTGTTTTCATGACTGCCAGAAAAGAGCTGCCTTCCTTCTCCAGAGGTCTCATGAGCAAGGTTATTGAATGGCTAAATAATTGTGCCTGAGATCACAACCGGGATCTTAGGCTGTTTGTGTGATCTACATAGATTAAGAATCTTCAACCCCCCCACACACACTGTAGAGTGCAACCTTCCCGGCCATCCACCTGGGCCCTGCCATAGTTGCAATCCCCAAACAACACACAGGACTCTATATTAATTATAAAGCTCTTGGCTGTTTGCTTGTTTCTTACTGGCTAGCTCTGACTTAAGTATTTAACCCATGATTGTTAATCTAAGTATTTCTCTTACTGGAGAAAAGGGTCCAGACCTCTTACTCCTCTGGCTGGCTACATTGTCTCTGCCTGTGTTTCTCTTTCCCAGAGTCCTTCTCAACTCCTAGTCCCACCTATCTTGCTTCCCTATTGGCCAACAGTGCTTTATTGACATATACACAGGATTTCCCCATCATCTCCTCTTTTCTGTCTAAATAAAAAGAAAGGTTTTAACTTTAACATAGTCAAATTATATATAACAGAACAGTTATCAAGTAAGAACATAGTTACAATATTTTGTCTATTAACATTAGTAAATTTAAAGAAAATATCATCTATCGTATCTTTGTGAGTCTGAATCTTATATATAACTTATCTTTTATCATAACTAAGGAAAACTATAACTAAAACTATCTTCAACTCCATCAAAGACCACATATATATTCTAATATATGAACATTAGAATAGACAGAGACCTCTCGCTGCCTAGACAGTCACCCGAAGTTCCTCTGTAATGTTGGGGCATCCATCTTCAGCCCATAGGCCACAGTGTATCTGGAAGACTTCTTAGAAAAGCAGGAAATTTCAAGCTGTCCATCTGGAATGGCAGTCCATCAGTCATTTTCTTGTCCTGCAGAAAGTCTGGCAGACTCTTCCATGAAGCAGGAACCCTGTAAGACTGAGTTCAGCAGTCACTTTCCTGTGGGTCCTGCATGTCCAGTTTATACAGCAACAGTCAAGCAGTCCAGGCAAGAGCAGTTTCTTGCCCAAATGGCTAACCTTGCCATGTTGAAAGCAAACTCCATAACGAGTTTCTTCAATGCCCATCTTCCTCTTAGATATATTGATGTGCCAGGAGCAGACACTTCTCATTGTCAAGAAAAACGCTAAATCATTTTAAATGCCATTTTCTGAAGGTTTTTGAAAGGTTTGAAGACTATATCAAATACATCTCTAACTTACCTAATTATAAGTTCTGTCTATTATAAGTAACTATGTATAGTATGTATTTAATTATGCATTATGTTTTAAAAGATTAGTATAAACACATTACTTAATCAAGAGGAGAAATATACACATCACAAAATTGACCTTGAATTTGTATCAATAAATGAAAAACCATACTCATACCAAGTATTCATTTCTATACCATAATCTACCTTTTACCATTAAAAAGAGATTGGTTATGATCATTAACCAATTATAAGCAACCCCATTCAAATGAAAACAAAGATTTATAAACAATATGGGAATTTGGACATTGCTCATTCCAAACTGCTTCCTGCTGGAAGGGGGTGCTGTCCATATCATGGGGATCATGACAAAACATAGAAACCTGTATAAATTCTTATTTTCGGGGTCTGTATGGCGGCATCATCTTAGCTGTCTTAATTGGTGGAACACCTGGCCCACTGCTTCTGGGGGTCTTGGTTCAACCATCAAACCACAGAAGCCTGGAAGGAATCCACAGCTTTCCATTTTCTGTGGAAACATAAAAACACTTTTCCCAAGTAACTGGTCCTTATATTTAAAGTTAGAGGTCAAAGCATTTTTGAAATATATAAGTTGGATTAATTCAGCAGCATTTATTTACTTATTTATTTTATTTTTTATTTTTTTGTTTTTTTTCCCACGAGACAGGGTTTCTCTGTATTGTTTTGGAGGCTGTCAGTCCAGCCTGGCCTCGAACTCACAGAGATCCGCCTGTCTCTGCCTCTGGAGTGCTGGGATTAAGGGCATGCGCCACCATTGCCCGACAGCAGCATTTATAATCAAGTATATTTCAGCAGTTGTTCCTTCCTTAGCCACTGAACTGAACACAATAGCATACAGTATCCATACTTTCTGTGTATTTTTCATCTTTATGTGGCTTATATTACTCAATTTCTTTTACTTTTATTTTTTCTCTGAGACAGGGTATCTCTTTGGAAATCTACCTTCCTCTGCATCAGGAGTGCTGGGATTAAAGGCATGTGCCACCACACCCAGCTACTTTTATTTTTTCAACATCTTGTTTCTTTTACTCTCCAAAGTCTACTTATATTTTTCTTCATCTGAATCTGACTTTACTGTAAAACTTTACGTTTTTTCTGGCCATGCGTCTTATATAGGCTAAAGAACATTGCTAAAATTAAAGCAGAAACGGCAGCTGGCTTTCCAACCTGGCGGGCATAAGTTAACTCGAGCTCACTGCCTCAGTCTATGCTGACATCCAGCAGCATGGTGCCGGCTTGGAGATGTGGTCACTGCCACTGCCAGATGCTCATGCACATCGTTCAACTGTTAGCAGAGCCCCTTAAAAAAATTTTTTTTTGCTTATGCTGAGTCGGAAGACTCACTTAAGTGAGCCACATGAGTCTCTGCTTGTCTCTAGCAAAACAGAGCCCACCTGAGAAAAATGCTATCAAAAGCTTCTGTTTTGTTTCTGAAATCTGATTTAAGCTTTTGCCAATCTACGTGGAAATTCATGATCCCACTGACAACCATATGTAGAGTGCAGCCTTCCCCGCCATCCAGACCTCTTACTCCTCTGGCTGGCTACATTGTCTCTGCCTGTGTCTCTCTTTCCCAGAATCCTCCTCAACTCCTAGTCCCACCTATCTTGCTTCCCTATTGGCCAGCAGTGCTTTATTGACATACATACAGGACTTCCCCATCACCCCCCTTTTAAAAAACCCCACAATCTGGGTTCTTTTTATTTTAACCAACCTTCTTTGTCGAACTGTGAGCCTGGGCACTGCCCCTCTTCAGTCCCTTTGGAATAAGTTCACCTGTGAAGACAGCTTCTCCTGAGAAGGTGGTATTATTCCAGTGTGTGTCCCACCTTACCCGTTTGTAGATGGCCTCTTTGACAGGCTGCCCATCACTTCCCATCTCCTCCGCACAGTTCTGAGATTAGCACTGCTTGTCTCAAGGACCCCAGAAGCTTCTCAGTTGTGCAAGGAGTAAAGTGTAGACTCGGGTGTGTTTTCAGAAGCGCCTTACCCACCAGCGTTTCCAGAACCCCACACCTCAAGTGCCCCGGGCGAGTCTCAGCTGTACACAAGTGTGTGCCTGGGAGCCCAACCTCATGCCTCAGACCCCCGTGCCTTCCTTCTGCTCTCTCTCCTTCATGGGTCTACATCTAATTCATTGTTTGCCACTTATAACCTGTCATTGCTCTCTCCCCATCAAAGGAGATATTGGTTTTTTTTTCTTTCTTCGAGATTTCTGACCCTCTTTTATTTCTAAACTCTTACCAGACTGTCTATGTAAACTACTTTTGGACACATTTTTAAAACTGACTTTTAAAAATATTGATTGTGCTTACGTGGTCACTGTTTCTGTCATAAACTACCTGGTTGTAGGAGGTCTGACTTTTATTTCCTATGTAGTGTGTGTGTGTGTGTCTAATAAAGCATTTGCAGCCATCAAGGTCATAAGGTCAACTGGGTGAAGCTGGAGAGAGAACACTGTCAAAGGAACTTATTAGATATCCAATAAAGACATTTTATTTCAGAGAATGCCGTCTTTCTTCATTGGAGTATATATACGTATTGAATTACAGAGCAAAATTTGGAAGATGTAGTTTGTGACAGGCAAGTCTAATAACGGCAAACTTCTGGATAGCAGAAAATGAAGATGTCCAGAGGAAATGGATTTTGTAACCATGACCCACCCTGGTGAGGGCCAAGGCACAGCTTGCCCCTGAAGATCACATGTCAGGGGGAGGCGGCTCTGCTGAGGCCGGTGGTGGTGCCTCCGAATACTTCTTCTCACGGGTGCTGCCCCGTTCTTGGTATTCCTGTGGGGCCGGGGGGCAGTCCTCAGGCCTTCGTGTGCTCGATTCCGGTCTCTTCAGTATACCTTCGTCATTCCTCCTGGGGGAGTCCCGTCTTTTGCAAACCACTGGTGGCGGATCACACCATATGGCTTCAGCTACAGGTTCACATCCTGTGTCAAACCTCACTTGAGATTCCTGTCTTTTTGGAAGCCCCTGGTCGTGCCTCGTTGGCTGACACTCTTGTCTCCTCGCGGCTCCTATCTGATTGATCAAATGGGGATCGCGCCTCTTAGGATGGCAGACTTCGAACTCGAGCATTTCGGAGCTGTGCCGGCAGAGGGACTCGAGCCTCCTGGGAACCACTAGCTCACATTTATCGCGCCGGCCCCTGTTTCGCCTGGCGTCCTTTTTTTGCAGCGCTGTATAGGACTCCTTAGAACCGAACACCATTTTCCTTCTTATCGACTCCCTGCTTCCATCTGGGCACATTGTGCCTCCATGTTTTACCATCTGGGCTCTGGAATCTGTTGTTTGGGGGCCTCCTCCGTCGATGCAACCTGGGAATAGAACTGAGTACACAGCAAAAGCGCGTGATTCAGGCATCCAGCGTTTCCTTTCCCCTCCTCCCCCCAAGACCGACTTTCCCCCAGAATACAAAATGGTGGAAATCACGTAGTGCAGATATTTATGCGACTTAGAGATTAGATAATGCAGGCATTGATAGCTAATAATGAAGTACAGATATTATTGATACAATTCTGGGTTCTTTTCAGTAAAATGGAAGACCAGTGAGAGAAAAGGTGGGATATAATGGGGGAGGGACTTGGTTCAATAGTAGGACTAATGAGGAGTGGTTACGGGGGTAATGACTTTGTAGCTTGGGAAGAAGTCAGAGTGAAAGAGTTATGTGGGAAGAAACAGTTATCTCTCAGAACGGAAGAAAACTCAAATGTGCTGTCCCTGCTGACCAAAAAACAAACAAACAAAAAAAGCATGTTTCAGCCCGTAAAAGCAGTAAGGGTGCTAGCTTGTTAACCATCGAGCTCACTTCGTTCCCAGCACCTCTCCCTTACGCTTTTAGATCTGTTTGTGTTACGTGTGTGTCTCTGGTGAAAGTGCACTACACAGCGTGCTCTTGGAGGCGAGAGGGGGAGTTACCAGATTCCCTGGAACCGGTGTGAGCGAGCCGCTGTGTGTGGGTTCAGGGAACCAGGTCCTCAGCAAGACCAGTATGTGCTCTTAACCATTGAGCTTCCCCGCCCGCCCCTCCTCCCCTCCCCCGCTTTGAGTCTCTCCAGTCCAGTCTCTGAAGTAGCCAGGTGAGCCGGACACTGCTGTCGTTTGATTTGTACAGCTGAAGAGGAAATGACAGCATCATCTGGGTGACGCTGAAGGCTGAGCTGGGAAGTGAGCCTGCTAGCCAGACTCCAGGGTTCAGCCCTAAATGTCACTTTTGAAACGTGCACTAGCTCATTTGTCAACGTCTCAAGTCCCTTTAACCATGTGTGGCTGGGCCAGCCCTCCAGTGCGTCAGTTTCTGTGTGATCTCGTAGAACTCAATTTGTAGCTTTGGGTAAGAATTCTGTGATTTTCTTTCTTTCTTTTTTTTTTTTTTTTTGCTTGCTTGCTTTTTTTTTTTTCTCTTTAGTAATTTGGTTCCCTAAATCAGGAAAAAGGACTATCTAGGTTATCAAAGCAAACTGTGAGGATTCTTGCTGGAGGGAGCGCTTGGTATGGACAGAGGGCTCAGCAAAACTCATGCCTGTCAAATAAAGTCATTCAGAAGGCAGAGAAAAAGGAGGTGAGTGCCCCCGCTTACAAAAAAGAGAGGAGCTTTAAGAACTACTGGGGTTCAGAATGTGTTCTCCTCATGTTCCGCTGGGGGAGTGAGTGAGGACATGTTCACTGGGCGCTCAGGAGGAGGTTGGGGTGCAGGTGTTCCGCCTTTTGTAGGGCTTCAACTCCCCTGCCGGGGGGCAGCCCCCAAAGCAGACACTGGAAGCCTTAGGAGATTTTGAATAAGAGGAGCGTCCCAGGTTCGCTTAGAATTACATGCCTCAATTTTGGGCATACAGGGAGTATGGGGAACTACATCACATATCTGAGTTCAGAATAGTTAAGGAACTCACTACCCATAAGAGGTAGTGCTAAAAAAACAACCTCAAGAGAACTCACCTCTCAATAGCCTTTCTCTAGAAGATTATTTTTATTTTGTTTATGTGTTTGCATCTGTGGAAACAGGTGTGGGGGTGCTCCCCTATGAGGCCAGGCCAGAACTCAAGCCTTCTGAAACTGCTGAAACTGGGCTTCCTTTCCATTTCCTGCCCACAGAGAAGACCACTCTTTCCCACTGAACTAATAGGATCCACATCCTCAGTCTGGTGATGATGTCAGTCCTCCTGGGTCTAATGGAAGGCATTTGCAGCCTTCCCTTACTCTTCCGCAAGTCCCTTCAAAATCCCATTCTCCTAATGACGGTGGTCACAATCGCCATCGTGTTTTGACAGGCATGCCTTGTCAGCCCAAGACTACTTCTCATGTTAAGTGAGGACCATCGGTTTGTCAGAGGGCAGCACTGAGAAAGCTGGTCCCATTACGACAGACTATGTCAGTGGTTCTCAACCGTCCTAAGGCTGTGACACTTTAATACAGTTCCTCATGTTGTGGTGACCCTCAACTGTAAAGTTATTTTTGTTTCTACTTCATAACTGTAATTTTGCTACTGTTATGAATAGCAATGTAAACATGCTTGGGAGATAGAGGTTTGCCAAAGGGGTTGGGACCCCACAGGTTGGAAACTGCTGGGCTATGTCATGGCATAGGCTCCATTGGTGGGCTTCCACAGTAACCGAATCAGAGACAAGATACTGTATATTCCTACAAAAGGAAAAAGACAAGAAGAGGCCAAAACTGAAACAAGAGGGGACCACTTAAGACAGAATGACTTTCTCAGATAGGAGGATTCACAACTCAGGGAGATTTGGCAACAGAAACGCAAGGGTGGCTAATCACAGAAACAGGAAGGGTGAGGAGTGATACAAACTTACTGAATTTCCTGGAACTGTCAACTGAAAGAGATAAAGGCGAACACATCGTCAGTGAACGCTGGGTTTTCCTTATCCCCAAGCCCCAGGTCCCTGCCATTGCTGTCGAGCCCCGCTGGGTTAAAGGTGAGACACTTTGGAACCCTGTGCGTCTGTACCTCAACTCGTTTGGTGTAAAAGGCTGCTCTCCCTGCCTTCATTAGCCTTAGCCATTTCCCAGTTTTGATTTGAAGTGGGAGATCCTTAGGCTGGTGTAGGGGTTTCCCCACAGGCTAAATTTCAAGACTGTGTCTCAGAGAGTACTGAAGGTCGAGGGATGGGAGAGACACGTGGTCAGGGCGGGTGGACGGATAGAACAGTTTACACTTACACTAGCAAACATTGGGGGGGGGGCGGGGAAGGGATGGGAGATTATTTGTGTCTCTGAGTTCAGTGGTCAGATGTCAAAAGTGCCTGTGAGCGAGTGGAGGCCAAGGATGCTACCCACTTGAGGAAACTTGAGGGAGAAGACCTGAACTTACCTCAGTCTATCGGTGGGAACACTTAAAAGGAAAAGAAAACAGATTAGTCATAAAATAAATTATGTACTAAGGTCCCATTAAGACCCCACTTGTAACACTGGAGGAAGGGTTTAGTGAGACATTCTATCCTCCAAGAATATGCTACCTTCTCATAGATTATTTGAACATCCCCCTCCCCCCCGGCCATGAATGTCTTAGAAGCCCTCAGCATCTTTATGGCATGCGGGATCAGTTATAGGAGGCAATAGCCATTTTTTTTTATGGCATGCGGGATCAGTTATAGGAGGCAATAGCCATTTTTTCTTCAGAAAATGGAAAAAAAAAAGATTCTTAGCCAAGGCAAAGGGTCATGATTTTTAGGAGACTGACAGGTTCCTAACACACCCCCCTCTTCATTGCCTTTCTTCAATCCTGGGACCACGAACACTGTGCTCTCCTGTACAGTAGAGGGAGCTCATTTGCAATCTGTGTCTAAACTTTGGTTACAGTTTGTATTATTAACAGTCTCTGGGGTTTAATGAGAATTCTAAAGCTGGCTTGGGGAGAGCTGTGGAACAAGAAGTACTCTAGATATTTTAGGAGAAGGATAAGGATAGCAGAATTAGAAAGAACATAACTATTTCTTTTTAAAGATTTCTAATTAGGTGTGTGTGTGTGTGTGTGTGTGTGTGTGTGTGTGTGTGTGTGTGTGTAGAGGTCAGATGAAAGCTTCTTGGCGTCACCGGGCCTTCTAAAAGCTTTCCACCCTCGAGGTTTTAGGGATTGAACTTGGGTTGCCAGGCTCAGCAGCAAGGCTCCTTCATCCATGGAGTCACCCTGCTGGCTGTCTATTCCATTCTTTATTTTTTCATCAGTCCTTCGAGGTCCCCATTGCGTAGTGTAGTTCATTTTTATTTCCAAAACTTGTGTGAACTGTCATTAAGATTTCTCTGGTTCTTGTGACAGCTCATGTCATGATTGGGGGGAAGTCAATAGCTCCGCCACTTCTTAAGAACCGTGGGCAGCTAGAACCAGGGCGGTGGGGATTGGTCTTCAGCTGGGAGGGTGCAGTAGCTGTGAGCAATGTCAGTCTCCTCTTCTCTCACAGGGCATTCGGGGAAGAGTTGAAAATACAATAATTTGATAAAAGTGCTCTTTAAGGGGTTAGGGAGGATGTAGAGAGCTTCCAGAAGGTGGGTGAATCCGAGAGAGAATACCACCCAGGCTGGGGGCATCGCTCCCTCTAGTGTCCTGAACAAAATTTGTCTTAATGCTAATAGGCAAGGGTTTTTTTTTTTTTAAATCATCATTCGATTAGTGTGTGACTGCACACTGAAGGAATAACCGCTTCTGGTATCAGGAACCCCATGCCACAGTGTCCGAAGTGTTGCTGGGAACAGACAGAACTGACTCCCCTGCTAAGGGGAGTGGCGGGACTGTCACTTTGACCTAACTGTCACATGGAAAGCTAAGACTATGCTGGGAGAGGTAGATGATGAGAGAAAGGGGTAAAAGGTCATTTCTTAGGAAACAGGGGGAGGGGGAGGGGGGAGAAACAGATTCCCAGTTCAGCGGTGAAGGATTTCTCCTGTAAATTCTCCACTAGGAATCATGCTGAAGGAGACCCCGGAGAGACATGCCCCATATTTAGGATTACTCCTTGGAGTGTGTTTGTACAAGTGGGATTATGGAGACCCCACACTCTGATGTACCTCGGGGCATGGGGCACGTTTGTTTTCTAAAGGGCTAGCCGTCATGTACAAAAGCAGGACCTCCGTTCAAAATAGTGTCAGCCCTAATTATTCCTAACATTCTCTTTGCGGTGCTCTTTGAACAGCACCACACAGGGCTTAACCCCTCCTCCCTCTTTGTTGCATGGACTCACTGGTGGTTAGCCATTGTGCATGTTAGTGAGTGAGTTCTCTAGTGCTTAAGGGGTTCTAGGCAACAGAGAAGTTAGCCATTGTGCATGTTAGTGAGTGAGTTCTCCAGTGCTTAAGGGGTTCTAGGCAACAGAGAAGTTAGCCATTGTGCATGTTAGTAAGTGAGTTCTCCAGTGCTTAAGGGGTTCTAGACAACAGAGAGGGCAAGGGGGTTGGGAAACACATCCAAAATCCTTTACTTCTGGGAAAGGCTTGAAACGGTACTGAAATATAGAAATAGATGAATAAACAACTTACCAAAAAGTCATGGGAGTAACTGGCAGGAGAAACAAAAGCACGTTAGCAGAATATTTGGAACAAGGCTCCAGTCTCTTTCCTTGTATTATTTTATTCCCCCAAGAGCTAACCATTGCTAGTGCTTCTGCCCACGATGCCAGACCTCCCCCAGGAAGCTGTCTATGACAAGAGGCAGGGGCGCTTTCTAACGGGAGGGGCTGGTCAGATGTGACTGGCTGGCCCTGTGTACGGTAGCTCCCTTTCCCCTACACAGTAGGAAGGTCAACTGGGAGCAGTGAGCCCATGATGCACTCAGCCCCCTCCGTCCCCTGCTGCGGTCTGTGTGGCCTGCATTCCTTCCTGGCTGTCTCTGCAATCTGGCTGCCGGCCTCCGTAGCTGAGATGGCTCACACGGCAGCTCACAACTGTCTAGAACTCCAATTCCAGGGGATCCCAGCCCTCACGTGGACACACATGCAGACGAAAACACCAATGCACATAAGAAAAAAAATAGTTTACAAAAAAAAATTAGGAAAAGCTAAGCTGTTAACATGTTGCTTTGGGAATCTCTCTCTCTCTTTTTTTTTTTTTTTCTCCCCGGTCTTTCAGTCAAGCGGTTTACCTTTCTAATAACAGATTGCTCGTTAAGTGGACATGCTCTGGATATTCATAAGCAGAAGCACCCCACTGGATAGGGGTCTTCTACAACGGTCCTGTCCCCGCTTTTTTGGGATCCCTGCTTTCTACCAGGCACTTACAGATAGGCATTGCTACATGGTCTAAAATCCAAGCACAGACAGTTAGTTTGGGCCGACACCGGCAACAGGAGTGGCGACAGTAGACGTCTAACGATAAAGTCTGTCCCGACAGGGATGCTGGGTAGGGAAGAGACCCTCCCGGCCCTTCATAACGAGTGGCTGCAGTATGTTTTTTTTTTTTTTTTTTTTTGACGCTAACACAGTCATGTTGAAAGGATGAAAAAGAGACAAGCTGTTTTTCATTTGTTATCCACTTTGTCTGGATACTGCAGAAACGGAACAAACTCCGTTTCTCGGGCTTTTGCCCCCAATTTTGTTACTTACTCTCTCTCGGGACTTTTTCTACCCCAGCTTGCTGAGCCCATCGTCTCTCGCCTCCGTTACTTGAAAATGTGCTCTTTTTGTTGAGGAGTCAAGAGAGCCAACTCGGGAGATGCCTGCTCAGCTCTAACGTCTGTCTGCCAGTTTCCTTCCACCTTGTCGGGAGGGCGGGGCTTTGTGAGCTGCCCCGCCCGCCGGGGAGGCTCAGCGAGCTGGGGTGCTCTAGTGCAGCTGGGTCCAGGAGCCTGCCGGGCAGCCCCAGGTGACCTGTGACATCTTACGGGAATCCTCTTTTACTTTTTATCCCCTCTCAGAGCTCTGGTGTGGCATGTGGGGGTAGAGGACGTCTTGTGGGAGTGTGTAAACACTTGCTTGACTCTAGCGAGACGTTTTATTTACTAGGAAAACGCCGTCAACACTGACGTTTGCGCTAGTCCTCTGTCCTATGCTTTAAAAACCAAGAGATTTTGCTACTCGGGAGACCTTGTACTCACCCCCACACGGAGGCGGACGAGCCTGCACTGAGCAGGTGCCGCACTTATCCAATGGGAACTTTCTTACAATTGCAGCAGTCGGTAAAGCCAGCACAGAGAGCACGATGCTGGGGGGGGGAGGCTCTCCAGTGAGGGCAGAAACACACTTCCGGGTTCTAAGAGGCTTTTGTTAAGTGGTCAGAAGTAGGAGCCCTGAACTACTTCCCACCTTCCTCTCAACCTCCTCGAACACTAAACGTGTCAGAGATGTTCAAATGCATGAGTGAGCTCTTGGAGGGAGGCCTGAGCCTTCTGTCTTGGCCGCTGCTGTACCTCCCCTGGTCCTCAATTACTCATTTATTTTGCAAATAAGTAACATCTCAACTGACTTGGCTTTGCTAATTCCATTAGATTTCTGCCATCTCTTATTTTTTTCTTTCTTTTTGTTTTAAAACCCCAGTTACCTATAAACTCTAACAAGAGAACCAGCAGGTGACATTCCCCCCCACTGGTGACAATTGTGTGGAAACTGTTCAGAGCAGCAGAAGTCCGTCCTGGCACCCTGTAGCAGGGGGACAGCAGCTTCCAGCAGAGCGCTTTAGAAGGGCCAGCGGAGGGTGACAGACGGGCACTGAAGGGAAGGAATGCTGTGCAGAGACGAGGGTGCCAGCCACGTGGGTGTGGTGACAACAAGGTCACGTACATACATGGCAGCCCGCCATTGTGAGCATTCTTATGTAGCTGGAAATAAGAACAGAATAGCCCAGCTAAACATTCTCAAAAGGAGTAAGCCTTCGAGGCACCTCCGGGCAGCTCACTGCCTGACTCGGTGTCTGCAGGGTTCTCAGTTTCTAAAATATTTACCGGTAACTTTAGAGGAAGCTGTTCTGTATAAAGCAAGGGGGACGGAACGTCTGGTGTCGGGAAGACGGAGGGCGTAGGAAGTAACCCCAGGGCTGGTGAGCAGACACGGCACTTACCTTGGTCTTGTCTCTCTGTGAGAAAAAAGAAACAGATAAATAAATGATCACACGGTTACTGGACAAAGAACACAGAAACAAGTTCTAGCAGAAGGGCTGCGAGGGACTCACACGCACGCACACGCACACGCACGCTCTCTCTCTCGGAATCCACCAGTTTCGGTGGCAGCTCTGAACTGCCCCACCTTTTTGGAGGGAGGAGTGTCTCTGGGAGAGGCCATTTTCTTTCCTGACTTCTCCCCAGACTCCCCAGAAGTTTGGAAAATTTACTGTTAATTTTTTTTACGCCCCATATCCTTTTCTTATCCCTCTTTCTATTATCTCTTTGGAAAAATTGTGTTCAGCTGTGATACTTCTATTACGGCTCAGCTGTTCACATGCTCATTTTAGAGAGCACAGTTTTTCCTCCATAGGCACATATATTTCGTGGGGGGGGGCGGCCATTATTTCTCAGAGAGTCAGCTAAGTGTGAGTAACTGTGGTAGGCTATGCTAACTCACAGTTTCTCCTGTGTATGTTAAGAGTAATGACTTACGTGATAATATATATATATATATACATACATACATACATACATATATATATATAGCAACAAGTCCCTGCTTGGCACAAAGTAGCACCTAATAAATACTGATCATTACAGCACCACACCAGGCACTAAGCAATTCCAATTGCCACCTCCAAAATGGCTACAGATAGCTGGGAATGGAGGGAGATGCTGGGGACAGGAGGAGGGAAATGGGAAACTGGAGAGCGGGATTCTCAAGAGCTAACGAACCAGAGAGTCAGAAGTAGAAACATCGGATCTCAGTGCATTCACAGTGTTATCATGGGGACTCACTCACAGGACGTTAATGACAGCACAATTGAAGAAAACACGGGACTTACGTATCATAGATGGTCCAGGTCTTACTTTAATGAAAAAGACAAAAATGCTAGTATAGTTTTTTATGAAACAGAAATATCTGTTCACTTGCAAACTAAGAGGGAGGGGTTCAGTGGGGTGGCTTTGTGTCTGAATGCTATGGAAAGGAGGGTCCAATGGTAGAGATGGGCTCTTGCCTCCCCTCCCGTCTGCTCTCCAGATAAGTTAGGAAGTGTCCCAGGTCCTAAGCTGCGTTGAGTTGAGCTGTTCTCTTGATCCTTCACTGTCCTTTGCCGTATAATGCTCACTTGTGGGAATCAGAGGCCCGTTTGTGGGAGCTGGCTCTCTCTTTTCACCATGGGTGTGTCTTGGGATGGAATTCAGATATCCAGGGTTGGCAGCAAGAGCCTCCGCCTGCCAAGCCACCTGGTTAAATGGGAAGGCGTTTTCCCCTGAGTATGCGCAGGCCTTTTTGTTCATAAGTGTGAGTCTGAACTTAGGCTCTTGGGCTCTGCAACTGTATTGCTGTGGGTTAGAAACCTGTTTCTTGTGAATTCTAGGCTCTTTGAGGCACTGGGGTTTGTCAGCATCTGAGAACTGCACCTGTGACTGGAAAGGGCTTCCATTCTGGAAGTTGGATGCCTTCAAATCTCACCAGGGACAGAGGAAACCACACCAGGATTGCTCTTATCCCCAGTGGCTGGGGAGGAATTGCCCCTCCTCTGTCTTAGAAACACGGAAGGCTGGATCTTCTGCAGGAGCTCAGGTTTTCTAGGTCTGCCTCCTTGGGGGTGTGATTGTTTTATTTGCTCCATTATTGCTTTGATAAATAAAAAAATACATTCAAACTAATGGCCCAAGTACCAATGGTCACCATCTATTATAAGACATTTGTCACACTTACTAGGCAGTTCATTTGTTTTGGGAAAAAATGTTATAGAGAACTAATGGCCTTTGTCACAGATCCCAGGTCAATTCTCCCCCTGCTTTTCTTGGTGGCCACTGTCATTAGGTGTGTTTTCAGTAACTAAAAAACTGTATCACTGTTATGTTAAGCTTTACTTTTTGTTTTAATTTATATGAGTCATCGTTTAAAAACCTTGTATCTATAAGTATCATTTAATACTCTAACCTGGGATTTCCCTCAGTCATACAAATGTAGACACAGATGCTCAACACATTTTAAATTTGTACTTATTTTCATTACTAACGACTTACACTCCCTTGAATGTGTGTTTTTTGTCATATGCAGGTGTCTTTCTGGCATTTGCATTTTAAAATGGGATTCAGAGATTCTGCATGGACTTAAGTTTATTTTTGTGGGGTTTAGGTGGTTAAGGTCTTGCTGTGTAGCTCAGGTTAGGCTTAAATTGACATCTTCTTGCTTCAGTCTTCCTCCCCACCCCTCTGGGTTTCCAGACAGGATCTCTCTGTGTAGCCCTGGCTGTCCTGAAACTCTCTCTGTAGACCAGACTGGCCTGGATCTCAGATATCCCTGCCTCTGTCTCTAGAATGCTGGGGTTAAAGGTGTATGCCACCACTGCCCGGCTCCACCCCAGTCTCTTGAGTACTGGGGTCGCAGACATGTGCCGCCGCTCTTCACGTACATCTTCGGTTTAATAGCAAGTTGTTGAGAGTGAGAATTCTCACTCAGCTGACTGAGCTATCTCCTGGGCCTTCCTCCGGTCTCTGTGTTTGTCTGTCTGTCTTTCCTTCCTACATGTCTGCGTCTTTTGCTCTTCAAACTATCTTCAAATATTCTATTTAAGCATTCCGTTTAAACATTTCCACTGCGCAGTCTTCTGTCACCCACGAGGAAACACGTGGCCCAGAGCACTGCTTTTTGGTGTCCCTTCCATGCTCTGCCATGTGTCCCGTGTCCTTAACCTTCCCCAGCTAGACCCCTTCCCCTGTCAAGGTTAGCCATGACTTCCTTTTCTCGATCTGCATTGCTAGCTCTTTGCCCCAAAGTCGTGTATTCTCTCCAGCTTGGAGAGATGGTTCTGCAGGACCCTTGGCCCCTTCTGCAGCTGTCCCTCCTCCACTCAGCCCTTCACGTCTGTCCCTAGATCTTTCTTCTGTGTCCAAACCCCGCAGTCTGCAGCACAGCCCTCAGTTCTCCGTCTTTGAGTGAACCTTTGGTGCTCCGGTTTATTTCAGCCTCCTTCTTATTCTTCCCGCGTCTCCTGAGCCTCCCTGTCCTCTGCTCTTTATACCAGCATCACCTCACCGTCGCCGGTGTCTCTCTGTGTAGCCCGTTTTTTTCACCAAACTTGCCGTCTTCCTGCTTCGGTCTTCTGAGTGGGGGCGGGGAGGGTGAATCACAGGCATGGGCCGCTGTGCTCGACTGGCCTGGCCGTTCTAGTGTCATCTGTTTGCTAATTGACGTCAGATGTGTCCCTCGCTGGGTTTCTCTTGAAGCCATCAGATTCAGACATGGAGATTTCTTTTCACGCCCACTGTGATGTTTCCAGAGGAAGAAGGTTCTTAGGCTGGGGAGAGGGTGTTGGATCCCCTGGGTTAGAGCTAGGAAAGGCTGTGAGCCACCGTGTGGGTGCTGGGGAGTGAACTCAGGCCCTCTGCAAGAGCAGCCGGTGCTCTTAACTGCTGAGACAATTCTGCAGCCTCCATTACATTTTAAAAATCTCAAAATACAATCTTGAGTGAGGAGATGTCACTCACTTGGAGCAGCACCTGTGCTCAGGACCACGCCTGGACAGAGTGGGCCAACACATATTACATACGTATCTGCAGCGTGTACCGCCTACGTCTGCTAAGCGTGCTAACAACTCTGACGCACTTTGAGAGCCAAGGGTTTCTTGCCTCAGTCCTCTGCAGATTGATCTTGCCATGCTTCTCAGGCTCCGATTTCTTCATCGATTTATTGTCCTTTCTTCCTCCTCCTCCTGTAAACCAGTCTATGCCCTACATTTGTGCTTAAAGCCAGACAAGACTAGGCTAGTTAAAAGGAAGACGGCAGAGAGCCCAGGCTGCTGCGCCTCTATGCCTTCACAAACCCCATGTCATGGCTTTTATCTGCCTTTTCTACCTAGCTTCTCCGGTGCCTCCACCAAAAAGAGCGTTCTTTATTCAGTTTGGATTCCGGCTTCTCATTTCCAGGGGGGGCAAGACCTTCTGTTTACTTCAAGTGGTCTTGTGTTCCTCTTCCCAGATATGGGCCTGTATCCCTGTGTTCCCGTTCCTACCTGCAGGCCTGTGTCCCTGTGCTCCCGTTCCCAGCTACAGGGCCTGTGATGGTTCGCTTCATTATCAACTTGATTTAGAATCAGGCAGGAGACACGCTTCTGGGTGTATCTACCAGAGTGTTTCCAGTAGCTTTTTAAAAAATTATTACTGTATGTTAATTTTTTAATTATATGTCAGCTTTTGGGGGCCAGTGGCGTTGGAGCCCCTGGAGCTGGAGTTGCAGATGTGGGTGCTGGGAGCCAGCCTCTGGTCCACTGCAGGAGTAGGACACACTGTATTTTAAGTTGAGAGGGGTAGCTCCCCAGCCCCACAGGACGTTTAGAGGAGGAAGACCCATCCCATGGGCTGCAGTCTTGGACTGAATAAAAAGAAGAGAGAGTGCTCTGTCTCCCAGTGCTCCTCTGCTTCCTGACTACAGATTCAGCGTGACCAGTTGCCACACACACCTGTCGTCCTGCCTTCCTTCCCTGGCATCCTGGACTGCCGTTAAATCCTGAGTCAAAACAGAGCCTTCTCTCCGGAGACATTTTCTGCCACAACAACAGGAAAAAGTGGCCGATTCAAGGTCCCGTGCTTAATCTGGGACATCTGGAGTTTCCGGTCCCGTCCTTGGACCTGGGTTATGACGGTGTGTTCGTCGTGGAGTGAGAACTGGCTGAACTGCCTGTCTGCTGAGGGTAGGGGAGGTATATGCGGATGAGGGCTTCAGAGAGGCACTGGTACATCCTATACCAACGGCGTCAACCTGAATCCATCAAACCAGCCCCTTTGTCCTAACACCGCAATCACTAAAAAAATTCTACTGGTGGAAACTACTACTCAGAGTGTGCTTGGGTGGAAGCCAAGCATTTGCCATGGATCCAGATACGTAGCACGGTTAGAGGTTGGGACATTTTACCCCAAATGTGGATTAAGTGAGCTACTTTGTCAACTCTCCATCTGAATTTTTTCTTCCTCATGAATCAATAGGGCTGAGTGGGGCAGCCTCTTCAGACCTGGTGGCCTCTTGAACCCATTCTCCACAGCTCCGGGCTTCTCCTCAGCACGCTCATTTATGATGCCTGCTGGGCATTTGAGTTTTTAGCCTTGGTAAGAACTCAGCATTTTATGTTTAGTGTGGGGGACTCGGGGGGGGCATTGCAACCCAGATTGAGTTCTGGGTTCGTCATCAGCATTTGATCTGTGCTCAGTGTGGTCTCAGGTAGCGACTGGTCCCTAAGAATGTGAGCTCCTAACGGCAAGAGTGGGAAGGCTGTGTCTGGGGCTGTAAAATGAAGCATGGAAGGAAATGGGCATGAGAAATAGCCTCCTCATTTGCCAGCATTTAGAAGCAGAACCAGCTAAGCCATGAAAACCCCAAATGCCCCGGCAGAAACGTAAAGAACTTACTTATAGTTTTCTGTGAAAGTACTAAGAGAGAGAGAGAGAGAAAGAGAAAGAGAGAGAGAAATACATTTAATTTTTCTTAACTGGAACCAACATAGAGTTCTCTAACGGTTTTGCTGGTATCTGCTAGGGGGATTACTCAGAGAGGCAGCAAGGATGCATTCAAAGGAACTCCACGGATGAGCTGCAGCTCAAATTTAGATGCACGATTAAGTAGTGATGAAGAGGTCAGAGGCAGGACGCCTAAAGGCCCCTTCATTATTGGATATTATTGGCAGCTTTGGATTACAGACTTACCCGAGACCGCTGGACTCTGTATTCCTGCATGCACCGTTCATTCTCCTTGCTAGAACACTGCCTACTGTCTTCTGCTACTTTGTAGTGTTTTTAGATTTTCGTTGACAGATGCTACTCATTACTTCTTTGTATCCTATTCTGCGGGTTACACACACACACACACACACACACACACACACACACACACACACACACACACACACACACACACATTTGGTGCAGGGAAGCTGGGTGGAAGGGAACCAAGACCGGGAGAGAAGAGAATCAAAGCCAAACACAGTGCTACTCACGGATGGGCGTTGAAGACGGGCCTGGAAGGTAAGAAGAGCCGTGAGAAGTTTCCCTGAGAGGGGCGCTTGTGACTCGGGCAGCTTCGGGGGTTGGGGGGGTTACAGCTCTAGGCTTCAACTAGGTCCTATGGCTATATTCTTGGGTGAATATTTGGCTCCAGTTTCCTTCCCACGTCACAGGGATTGATCGATGGTGCTACTATAGGGGATGATGCGACTGCCCAACTTAAGGTGTGTTAGGTCAGCCGGGCGGTGGTGGCACACGCCTTTAATCCCAGCACTCGGGAGGCAGAGGCAGGCGGATCTCTGTGAGTTTGAGGCCGGGCTGGACCGACAGCCTCCAAAACAATACAGAGAAACCCTGTCTCGTAAAACCAAAAAAAAAAAAGGTGTGTTAGGTCTTACAGGAGGGGGGAGTGGACGTGCAATCTGATGCCTGGGGTGGGGCTGGATGACAAAGGCGAATGGAAGGGGGAGGGTCACACACCCAGGTGTCTGCACACAGGGAAGGAATGGGGGCGGGGCACACACAGCAACAGTAACAATGTAAAGCAGTAGACAGCCAGGCAGAACTCACAGTTGTGCACCATGGCTGCCTGCGAACCACCTGTAAGACAGAGAAGAAGGGGGCTTAGCATTTCCCTGCCACACTGTTTTGTCTTCTGTTTAGGGCTCTGCCTTGATGGGGGGGGGGGGATGGCCACCCTTCCGGTCCTGCCTGGCCCCATTGTGACTTAGCAGACGCGCACTTTTGGAAAGGCCTCTCCCCCCCCCCCCGTGACTTTGCGGCTTCTGACGCAGGAAGGTGGGTAGTTAGAGGTCCCCTAAGCTCAGAGACCTTAGGGCTGTCAAGGAGAGGAGATTGTGGGGCCCCAGAGCTGGACTTACTGAAGGAAACTGGATTTGGTCCACCTGGTAAGAAAAAAAGAAAACAAAACAGAAAATTAACCTGCTTTCTACTTTCCCTTATTCATTTTTCACTTTATTTCTGTATTTTAGATTTTTTCAACTTGGCACGCGTGCATGCGTGTGTAAGGGTGTGTGTACGTGTGCGTGTGTAAGGGTGTGAGCGTGTAAGGGTGTGTGTGCGTGTATCAGTGTTGCATACCTGGGGGTGTGGGGGGTGTGTATACACACATGTGGCTGTAAGATGTCAGGCTTGTGAGACAAAGGCTTTTACCCCGAACCATCACATTTGAGAAACTTTCCCCTTGTTATTTGTTTTACTTATGTAAGTCGACCCTTTGATTTTTCTCATAAAAGTAGTTAAAGAAAAAAAATTATGGGTAATGTAAAAGCAGGTGCTGAGGGGACAGCAGCTTCTAAGCTCAGATTTCCTACACGGTCAGGGAAATCGTCGGATGTGGCGGTATCAAATGTGGACACACAGACCCTGGAGGCTGGGACGCCCTCACCACGCGGTTCTGTGTTCCTCTTTCCCTCTGCCAGTCTTTGTTTCTGTGAGCAGTCTTCCGTGGGTGACTCTGTGAACGTGTAGGACCCTGCATGTCCCCCCGCCCCCGCCCCATCCGTTTGTACGTCAGTCAAGTCCAGGCTTTCTCGGATATTGCTAACAACCCCGGGCGCATTTGATAGGAGGTGGATTCTGACAGTGTTTTCTACAGGGGCCGGACAGAGGCTGCTGGATCCCAGCTTGGGGGTGCTGAGGTGGCAGGGAATAGATGCAAACTTACTTATCGCCTGAGATGGCATTCCACCTGAAAGGCAAACGGGAGAAGTGGGTTACTTTGCTTCCTTCCTTCAGTAAGAGTGGCTTCGAGACAGGGTCACGTTATGAGCCCAGGTTAGAACCGCAGCTCCCGTTTCCCACTGTCTGCGCACTGGGGTTACAGACGCCACCCGCCGGCCGCCGGCCACCTCCCTACTGTTTGCTTTTTTTTCTGGTTCTTTCTTTCCCTCCTACCCTCCCCACAGCAGGGACTGAAGAGCCCTCACTTTTGGAAGGGGAACACTTTACTGCTAAGCAACGTTCCTGGCCCCCTTCTCTCCCTATTCTTAGCCCCTGTCTTTTTCTGGTTTTGCTTTTTTGGAGACAAGGTCATGTTGGTTTGCCCGGGCCCAGCCTTTCTCTTAGCTTGTAGCCCAGAGAGGCTACAAAGTGGGCACTGCCCTAGCCCTGCCCGCTAAGTATCTGGGCTCACAGATCTGAGCCCCCCGGCCTTATTTTGTGTTTTTGTTTTCTTCCTCCTGGCTGGGGACCACAATAAAGGCGTGTAAAACTTTCAGAGAACTGGCAACCACTTTGTGGAACTCCAGACAGTGGGAAAGCAGGAGGCTTCGCCATAACGAAAGACAAGTTTTCAGTTCCTGTGTTAGAATATCAGGCCTGATGGGTACTGACGGCCCCTGCGAAGGCACAGCAGGGACAAACCACACAGTGATCTCTTGTGCAGGTGGCCCAGCTGGAAGGCAGGGATATATGTATTATTTTCCATCCTTTCCTTCCTTCCTTCCCAATTCTGTCTTTAGTACCACAGGGACGCTTTTCCCCTTCGACCCTTAGTTTTCAACTAAGCCAAGGAAGGAACGTTCTAGAAGCGTACTGGCGTCCTGGTGGAGTAGGGGGTGGAGGAGTCAGAGCGTTAAGCTACTGGGTCCTAATGTGGGCAGAGGAATTTTGTCTCAAGAACATGGGGTTCATCGGGCGTTGGTGGCGCACACCTTTAATCCCGGCACTCGGGAGGCAGAGGCAGGTGGATCTCTGTGAGTTCGAGGCCAGCTTGGTCTACAGAGTGAGTTCCAGGACAGCTTCCAAGACAATACAGAGAAACCCTGTCGCGAAAAAAACCAAAAAAAAAAAAAAAAAAAAAAAAAGAAAGAAAGAAAGAAAGAAAGAACGTGGGCTCTCCATGAGAGGAGGCAGCCAGACTTACAGTTGGACTCCACGGCCGCTGGAAAGACAAAGGCAGAGGTTAGTGTGGGACGTCAGGGGGCGGGGTCCGCAGCATCCGAGGGAGGGGCCCAGTGCCTGCTGGGGACACGCTAGCGCCCCCTTGCCTCCTGGGGGTGTCAGCTGCTCACACCCTCGGGTCCGCACCTCCTCTAGCCCAGGCTGCCTTGGCCCTTCTTCTCCTACTCTGCGCGAGCCTTGGCTCACCCGCAGTCTCCCTCCCGCTGTTGCTGACGCGGTGCTGCACACTTTGGGAGGTTTCCTCTGACTCTTCCTTTCTTTCAACAAGATCTCACGTAAGCTCAGACTGGCATCGGGCTTGCTAAGGGTGACGACCTTGAGCCCCGATTCCCATCCCCCTCCTGCGCTCCGGTGCAAGGGTTACGGTGTGGCACTGTGCTCATTCCTTCCTGGGGACCCGCACCAGGGAGATGCTGGGGAAAGCACAGGAGCCAGAGGAATAGAGGAGGAACACGGGAGGAGGACGGGAGGAGGGCAGAAGGAGCACCGGAGGAGGATGGGAGGAAGACAGGAGGAACAGAGGAGCATGGGAGGGGCACAGGAGGAGCACCGGAGGAGCACGGGAGGAGCACGGGAGGAGGACGGGAGGATCACGGGAGGAGCACAGAAGGAGCACCAGAGGAGGATGGGAGGAGCACGGGAGGAGCACAGAAGGATCACCGGAGGAGGACGGGAGGAGGACAGGAGGAGCACAGGAAGAGGAGCACGGGAGGAGCACGGGAGGAGCATGGGAGGAGCACAGGTTGTTGGGTTCACAAGGCAGAAGGAAGCTGAGGGACAGATCCCAGCCTCTCTGGGGGTCTTTACTTAGGAACGGCATGTGACTTACGACAGCAGGCCTCTGAAGGTTCACCTGGGGGAAGAGCAAACACGGGACAATCATGAGGTTTCACCCATCCTCTTTCCATCCAGGATGGAGAGCTCTCGAAACAGGTCTTGAGATAACATTGTGATTCATAATGTTGTCATCTGTGTGCTCTGGTCATCTGCGGTCCCTTCGCTCCCTCCCTGGCCACCTGGAAAGCTTTCCTTCCCCACCCGTTTTTGTTAGGCTGCTAAAGGCACTCATTTTTGTAAACTTTTTGTTTTAACTAGCTTGATCTAAAACTTCCTTTTGTTTTTCATCCACAACTCACAGGAAAGCTAGAAGGAATGAAACTAGCAGGACCATTTCCTCTCCCACATTATACTGTTTCTAAAGGATTTATACACAGGAGACATATGGCGGCTCTTAGGAGACTTTGGGCCACCAAGAGAAAAAAGATGTTTTCTCTCTGTGAGCATTTCCAAGGCAGCAGGTGTGGAATGGTTAAGAGTACAGGTGGAGGTAGCCTTGACTCAGGGTTACAGGTGTGTGCCAAAGTCGACTATGATGGCTTTTATTCGTTTACCAAGAGATCCTTAGGACCAGGGTTCGGGGTGGGAAACAGCAGCTGTTCACTGGTAGAGGTCCCGGGGGCTGTGGCTTTGTGGGTGCTGTCCTGCCCCTCCACAAGCTGACCTCGTTCCCTGCACGTGCCTATGGGGATGTACACACTACAGCACCCAGGACCAACCAGTGTCAGTCTGTCCAAACCTATCGTCTCCCTGCCTTGACATTTCCCCTGTGTCACAGCCATCGTCTCCCAGCAGGGCCCCCGGGAACTGTGAAGCTCTCCTGAGCCGCCTTTCCCGGTACCTGGGAAAAACGATCCCGGGTAGAGAGCATGTTATGTGTTATGGAACACACTGCGTTTCAGAGATCATCAGGATGTTCAGTGGCTTCCTTGCTTGGTTTTCTTTTCATTTGAAAAGAGTTTAATCTTTTTTTTTTAATGTGTGGGTAATTTGCCTGCGTGTCTGTCTGTATACGGTACATATGCCTGCTATCTGCAGAGGTCCAAAGAGGGCACTGGATCCTCTGGAGCTGGAGTTAACGGTTGTGGGCCTCCGTGTGGGTGCTGGGGACCGAACCTGGGTCCTCTGCAATTGCTCTTAGCTGCTGAGCTGTCTCTGCAGCCTCTCTTAATACGTGGCTCTAGAAAATTCTTGACAGGTGCAGAGTAGGAAGCGTGGCAGCATGTTTAAAAACATCATCCTACGCCAATGAAAACCATCAACAGGTGAGGGACGGGCCTTCTGAACATCATACAAGGGCAACAAACACCAGAGAGAGAGAGAGAGAGAGAGAGAGAGAGAGAGAGAGAGAGAGAGAGAGAGAGAATACATATACATAAGAGACTTACTGCTAGATCCCGTAAATTGCACTACAAATAAAAAAAAAAAAACAGAAAGATTGTGGTTAGAGCTTGGCAAACTTAGTGAGAGCAGCCTTTCCAGGCGGCGAGGACCCCAGCATTCAGGATGGATGTTTCCCGTGACAGCCTGGCACCAGCACCTGGCTGGCCTCCCTCTAGATTTAGCTAGGAGGAAGGATTGCCTCCTCATTCTTGTTTTTTGTGACGGGCGGGCGGGTGCTGCAGATGAGCTCCTCGGTCACGCCCTTCTCCCCGCCAGGCACCCCACAGGCTTCATTTTCCGAGCCACCCCCCCCTTTCAACTGGGTGCTTATCTAGCCCTAACCCTCCCTCTCTCCCCTCTCTCTCGACCATTGGGACCGCTTTGGAAGGCACCCCGGTGTTTACTGGCACACCGTTACAGCCGTAAACAAAAGTGTGCTGCCTAATACTGACTCTAGGGCGGTGCCCCCCCCCCCCCCGTTTTCTAACCTATCACCAGTCTTTAAGGAGGAGGCTACGGTGTAAGGAAAGGCAAGGCCGGGGAACAGGACTGACAACAGTGGGAGCCAAAGTCCTTCTTTGTCCCAGGAAGTCACTAACGACAAACCAGTGTGTCTACAGGTGACTTACCAATAGGGCCAGGAGTTTGCACTGCAAAGAAATGAGAATTGAAATGTTAGTATGAATGGTTTTTTTTTTTTTTTGCAGGAGTATAAATATTTACTGGACAAGAAGTGTCAGCGATGCCGAGATCATAGAAAACTAGCCCAGTCCTCTATGAACAAAAGGCACGGGTGGCACTCACTGTGGGTTTCTTGTGGGCGTAGGGGACTTTCGAGAAAGAAGAGACCACTTGCCTACATGAGGGACTATGCTGTAATACGCATCTTATTTTCTCACTAGCTAACGTCCCGGGTACACAGGCAGAGGGGGTGAGGGCTCGGTTCGTTCTCCTCCTGGATTCTGTTTGGAGATGCATGTTGGTGACTTCCGTCTGGTTTGAGAAGTGTCAGAGTCTGAGCTGAGGGGCCTTTCGGCTTTTAACAGAGACCTGGCCTTCAGTTGATGACGCTGAGGCAGCCCAAGGCCTGCAAACCTGTTCCCTCGCTTGGAGCGATGCTCATGTTGGAACGAGCCTTGGAGGGTGTCCAGAATGGAGAACTGCAGACGCTGGTTCAGAGTTGCGGCCGTGTTTCTTTCAGGACTCCTGTAGATTGTCTACACAGGGCTTCTGAGGGGTCTGCGGGGGGCATTTTCCAGGACAGGACAGCTCCTACTTTGTTGGAACATCCAAGAGAACAGAGCCGAGATGGCTTTTGAGTCTTGAGGAGACCACATCGAGAATAACTCTCAGGAAGGGGTTTGGCTGCTGCCGCCCTCATGACTGACCGCTTCTCCCGCCGAGGACACACCGAGTCAGCTGGCCTCAGATGGCCACAGTTATCCTGTGTAGTGCCGTTGGGTCAATCCAAAAGACCCCCCTGCTGGGACTGCAGCCCCTTGGTGCTCATGTTGGAAAATGTCTGAGGCTGACCTATCCGCAGGTGGCTTTCCGCGCCTGGGTGCCCTGGACTGTGAGCAGTAGGCAAGCTGGAATTTGGGGTATGCGCAATGTAATTTAGCAGTTTCTCTCCACCCCCACTTTGTGCCTGTGTGCATGTGCATGTGTGTGTGTGTGTGTGTGTATGTGTGCGCGCACACACACTTGTTCTTGGAGTAGAGCTCCTAGAATACCTGCTAAGTTAATGTCAGCCACCAACTCCTTGGATACGCGATCATTTCGTGTTTTGTTCTTTCTTCGGTTCCGGCATGCGCGGCCGTCCTGTGCAGCCTTCCTTCTCCGCCGCGTTGAGAGTCTCTTAGCTCCAGCGTTGCTCGCACTTCTTCCCGTTTTCTCTCCCATGCCTCCATTTTTCTCTTCTTTTTCCCCTTTGACTGCCACCTTTCTCTCTCTTTACTTTGCTGCTGTTTTCCCCCCTTCTCTTCCTTTAGGCCCCTTTCTCCCTTCACTTCCGCATGTCCCGTAAACTGCTTGTGACACAGAAGGATTAAGAAGCATCAATACAACTTGAGTCCTTGGGAAGGAGAGACGGCTCAGCGGTTAAGAGCACTGGCCACTCTTCCAGAGGACCTGGGTTCAATTCCCAGCAACCACATGTCGGCTCACAGCTGTCCGTAACTTCATTTCTAGGGGACCTGGCATCCTTACTCAGACGTACATGCAGGCAAAATACCAATGCATATAAAGTAAAAATAAACAAATTGCACACACAAAAAAACCTCGAGTCCCCACTTTATTTAAGGACAATGTGATGCCCGCCGTACTCATCGCTCTCACCACCACTGCTAGGCCCAAGAAAACAGTATAAATGGCAATGGAGACATTTCATTGTTAGCCAACGGTGGCATGCTCGGTTAATCACGTAAATCTAAGAGGAGCCTCAAGCCATGTTTATTTAGTCGCATAATTAAAAAAATATTAATGTTTGTTGGTAAGACTATATAAAATGCAGTATGGAAGAAAAAAACAGCTCGTGTGTAGCTAGGACCCCATTTATAAAGCTATAACGAACAATTTTATCTTGGCACCTAGCTGTTACTTGTACGGTTTCTGAGGGAAAATGTAGATTGGGAAGCGGCAGCTGCCATGGAAGTGGATAACGACAGAAACATGACTGTCCGGAGCAAAGTCGTCAGAGAAGTTACAAGTCACAAGAAGCCTGACCGTTTACGTCATTTGCAAGATGAACAAATGCTACTGAGAATCTTTATTGTGCGCTGGCTCTAAAGGGCGGGGCTGTGACAAGCCGGTGAGGAAGGGACACCCCAGGCTTTCGGGTTCCACTTCCGCGGTTAATATCGTTTTACGGCTGACCCTGGTTTAGCGCCACCTTGTAGGCATGCTGGGAGGGATAATCAAGCAGTTGTAGTACTCTGCGTTTGGACCTGTGGGCATAGATAATTGACAGGAGGCAGACTATTAGCCCAGGTGCCCCAAGGGTCCTAGTGTGCAGCGGACACCGAGGTGACTTACCAATGGTTCTTTGAGACAGCTCTGGAAGGAAACAGAAAAGAATGGAATGAGAAGGGGGCGGTTAGCGGAGCATCCGGGTTTCATTGAACCCTCGCAGAGGACTAGAAAACCCTGCTTTCTGGGACGTGCGTATTCACAATTCATCGATGACTCATTGAAATGCCAGGCGGAGGAGAGCCACAAAAAAAAAAAAAAAAAGACCAAGAAAACGACACTTTCAGACCTCTGAAACTCCATCACGGAAAGCAGGGGGAAAAATCCTTTAGCTACTGCAGAAAAAGATCAAGAGCCACAGTAGAGAATGGGACAAGAAACTTACTGATAGGTCCTGTAGCTCCAGCTAGAGGGGGAGGAGAGAGACAGAGAGAGAGAGGGAGAGAGAGAGTTACGTTACTCGGTGCGAAGGAAATACTTGAATACCTGTCTCCCAGCTTTCACTCTAGCAGAACTATCACGGGTGGGGTGGAAACTCTGGGAAGACCCAGGGTTGCTTGCACGGTAAGCCACAGGCAGCCTTCCTGTTGTCCATGCGCAGGACCCGGTAAGAGTGGAGGCTTCTTTCTGCTTTGTGGTGGGCCGGCTCAGGCAATCAAGAAAGACTCATTCCTCGTTAGTTTGCAAAGCTTGTGCTTTTCTTTTCCCATTTCCTTAGAGACTTAAGGTTCGGAAAAGCACACCTTCCTTTCCTGAAGGGCGTTTGCACTGCCCCCTAGAGGCCCTTGTTTTGTTTTCTAGTAAAAGTCAGCACATGGATCTTTGAGGTCACTGCACATCACGCATGGCCTCTTTGGAAACTGTAGTGAGAGGACCTGGGAAACTCAGCACCAAGAAACGGGGCGGGTCCACCCCCCCCACCCCTGTAGGGTTGGCTGTGGAAAGGGTTAGAGTGGAAGATGGATAGATACTCACGGATGGGTGCGGAGAATTGCACTAAAATATCAACAAGACAAAGTCAGCACGCTTGATAGTCACAGGGTTTGTATGCTACCCGCATTTCCCAAAGAAACCATGAGGGGGAAGGGCAAATGCAAAGACGGCAGTCGATTTAGCGGAGAGTCTCAAAAGTCCCATCAGAGCAAGTTATTCAGGACCCATCTCAACTGAGAAATAAGTAGTTAAAGAAATCCAGCAAAATAAAAAACAAAAACACAAAACAAAAACCGTAAGAACTACTTAGCCTTCCCTTTTCTTAAGCTCTGACATTTCAGGTCATTTGTCTTAAGTCTAGGTCTTGGACATCAAGAGGTGTCACAGACTTTGGATGCGATCATGACACATGCGTGGGAAATTCTTCCAGAAAGGAGGTTGAGACAGGTTGGGATACAGAGAGGATAACGATCCCAGACCCCATGGGAGAACAAAGAGATAAATAGAAACTCACTGATAGGTCCAATGGTTCCACCTAAAACATTGGAAAAACAAAACAGAGTCCGTTTAGTTCTTTAGCAGAGGAAAACGGCTTACAACAAAATTCTTTCTGGGAAAGAGTCGGAAACAGGGAAGTTCCGCCTCACTGGCCAACTTGAACTGGTTAGCAGGAGCTTAAGGCCTCATTTTCTGAAGGAGACTGCGGGAATTCCTATCTTTGCAACCAGTTAGGTCCTTGTTCACCAGGGTGGCTTGTCACAGAGGTATGAGACAGACGGAAGACATTCTCGGGAGGGATTGTGGGTAAAGGGATTAGGACCCTAGGCTCTGCAAAAACAGCCTCCTTGTGCAGGATCTGACTCGTGAGCCCTGACTCTGACCTTTTTCTCTTTCCTCCGGGATTCACCTGTCCTAGGTCTGAGCAGCCTCAGAAGTCACGGGCGGATGGGTTAACACACGAATCCCCCCCCCCCCCCAGGGAAGCTTCCCTTCCCTCGTCTGCGCTCGTTTTTACGGCTACTGTTGTGCAGAGACCCCCACAGGTACAATGCGGCCAACCATGTTCAGTTTGTATTTCCTTCCTGAATCTCTCATCTCCCGCTCCACACCCAGCAGGCTCCTTAGAGGTGTGTTGTTAGGATGTCACCCACTCTAGGCTCGTCTTCTAGACTTGTGCTCACAGGAGGCACACTCCACTCATTCTACAAACCATCACGGGATGGTGTGGGGACCCTCTTTGTCTGCAGGCCCCGGGCCTCACTGTGTGCCACGGGTGCCTTCTTGCTGTGTTACCCAGGAGGAGGCCACATTAGTCTCCCATGGGTGCCGCTGGCACTCCCAAGTAGAGGGACATTCCTGCCTTCCTCTGGGCTGTGTCTGCTCCCAACACGTCTCCCCCCTGCGTCGGGGACTGCAGGGTTAGGAGGTTTTGTAGTTCTGTCTCTCTCAGGGGTGCCCAGTATACCCAGTGTGTGGGGGGGTGGGGGGATGGGGGGAGATAAAGGGACAATGCTGGTTGGAAGAAGTGGTGGTTCCAGGACTGTGATGTCAGCTACACTACGGAGCGAGGCGAAGGGAATGAGGGTCAAAGTGCAGAGAGAAACTTACTAATGTGTCCTGAGTTGGCAGCTAAAATAAAAAAAACACAACACCGTAAGTTTGGAAGGAGCATAACTTAGGGACTTTTTTCTTGGGGGGGGTTGGGGAGTTTGGGTCCAGCATTCATCAAAGTCAGATTCACATGGGAGGACACCAGGAAGTCGGTCTGTGTTTCCTTCTGTTGCTTAGGCAACAGAGGCCACCATCTAAGGTCGCTTGCCCTTGTCTGGGTTTCTCCTGGGGCCTTTCACCAAATCCTCCTACAAATCTGTCTCTGATGAAGTGCTTCCTCTGGCCCCGGAGTTTCCCACACATTTTCAAATGAGCGAGCTTGGGCATTGTCAGCAGGGTTTTCACTGTGCTGCATGAAGCAGTGGAACTGTCCCTTCCGGGGCTCTCGAAGGGAAGGACAGACAGACGAGGGACAGACAGACGGGAAGAGCCAGACGGGGCGGCGTCCCCGGTGCTCCCTGCATCTGAGCTGAGCTCGGCCTCTCTTTACCACCCTTTGCATGCTCCCCCAGAGCAGCAGCGTCGCAAGCACGCGCAGAGGGCCCGGGAGTGGGATTACAGAGCAGGGAAACATACACATAGGTTCTCGGGTGGATTTGCCGTTTTTTGTTCTGCCTGTAATAGAAATGAGGTCATTACTGGAAGCTGCAAGTGCTCAGAATGTGGAGACCAGCGACGTTTTTGGTGCCTCCCCCCTACCTCCACCCTCGTTAGTACATTGACAGCGCAGCCCCCATGCTTAGGGAACCCCTCCGACAAGGGGACAGAAAGGCTTTTGGGGCAGGATGACCAAGACAGCTGCTGAGACACAGTTTCATCAAAAGAGGGGGCGTGGTTGCGGAGGGGTGGGCCTGGGAAGAAGCAGGTGGGGTGGTACATGTGATCAAGGTATGCTGTGTGAAATTCTCTAAAAGTCCGGACAGAGCTGTGGTCCTGCGATTCCGACCGCAGAGGGCAGGTGATCTGTTCCCTCCAGATGTGTGGTGTGGAGTCCTGAGGCTGCAGGCCCGAGGGTCAGCTTTGCTGCTCTCCAGTGCTCTGGCTCTGGGGGCATCCGTCTGCTGAGTTGACTTCCTCGTGTTTAGAGTGGAAATTGTGCCCCCTTCCCTGTTCAGTACTACACTGAGATCCCAATTAACAAAAAACCCAGAGTAAAAACAAACGGGAAAAGAGGAAATTCTGCTGGGGACAGCATGGGAGAAATACCTAGTGACTTGCGGAGAGGCAAAGGGACAGAAAGGACTGAGTCTGCTGGCCCTCAGAGTGGAAGCAGAGAGGCACAAGGTTTGGGTGCCCTACCAAACCACAGGAAAGTGTACTCGGGACCCAGGGCGGTTTCTGGGGAGATTCTTCCAGATGGGAAGAATGTGGGCTTCTTACCACTCTGCTGCTTGACGGTCAGCGCCCTTAGGTGTCTTCAGGGAACATGCACACAGGCACACACATGGACATGCATACACAGGCATGCACACGCACATGCATACACACAGGCATGCACACGCACATGCATACACACATGCCCACACACTCATGACCCCCCACACATACACACACACAGGCATGCACACGCACATGCATACACATATGCCCACACACTCATGCCCCCCCACGCATACACACGCGCATGTGCTCGCACACACACACATGCTTGCACACTCGAGGTTTCCACGCTCACACACAAAGTCTCAGGACTGGGAATCTGCCAGGATGAACCATCATAGGCGTGTTGTCTACATGAAAAGTCCACCCCCATCTAAGAAGTATTTGAGTTTATGAGTTAAAATTGACAGGTGTTGACCACACAAACTACCCCTGCCTGCAGATGAACTGGCCTAGTTAGCGGTGGCTCATTCGGGAGTTCCTTTGAGGCTGGATGGAAGGCAGCGGTGTGAGGGGTTGGGGCTAGCTCCCGGGGGCTGTGGCTTGAGGTGGGAGGGCCAGTGAGACCTTTCCGCTGTTTTAAGGATAGGTGTCCATTGGTCAGATAGGATTTGACGCCTGTGATAAATGAGGTCATCTGGTTACAGAGGCTGTGGTGCACGGGGCCGGGGTGGGGTGGGGCGTAGGGCTTATGGACCACGTGTTCAAATAACGTGATATACATTTGGACAAGAAGGAATGATTCTACCACTAGGAAAATGGCTTTAATATGAATCCAGATGAGTAAGATTCAGAGTGGAAAATTACCTCAAGTATACAGGTCTGGGGGGAAAAAAACCCAAACTGTCTACTTGGGATTATTTATTTTTTAAGTGTATTCCTGATTTCCTCACTTTAAAAAAATCTCCCCTTTGTTTTCTTCCTCTTTCCTTTATTTAGAAAACACATTTATTTTGCTGTGACCACCAGCTGAAATCTCATCTGGGAAACTCTTTTAGACTTCATTGCCTCCTTCTTCCTCACTTTTGAGAACCTTAAAAGCTGATTCTTTTTTTTTTTTTTTTTTGGTTTTACGAGACAGGGTTTCTCTGTATTGTTTTGGAGGCTGTCCTGGAACTCGCTTGGTAGTCCAGCCTGGCCTCGAACTCACAGAGATCCGCCTGCCTCTGCCTCCCGAGTGCTGGGATTAAAGGCGTGCGCCACCACGGCCTGGCAAAAGCTGATTCTTGTAACTGCTCATCTAACTATTTAAACTGTCAGGAGAGACTGAGTCACTTGCCCATGCTCACACAACTCTGAGTGACAGGGAATGCAGCACCAGGTGGCCTGGTGGCAGCCTGTATGTCAAGAAGACTTTAGTCAACATGCAGACATGGTTTAAGCATGTTTGTGAGCAGGCCTTGTTCTCACGACTCCCAGCTCACTGAGAAATTGCCCGGTTTATGTCGGGATACGGACAGCAGGTAGCTTTTCGCTAAATCCACGGCCCACAGCCGGCACAAAGAATGCGGGCTCTCCTGGGGGAGGGGGGGCACTGTGGTTCTGCAGGGTGGTGGTCGGAGGAAGATTCAGCTGTGTCACAGCTTAAGGAGCAGCTAAGGAGGAGAGCATGAACACGCAGAAGAGAAGTGAATGCTGGGGTTGAGGAATGTGCGGCCAAAGACATGGATTCACTTAGGCCGGGAAGGGCGTGTCCCAGCCTTGGAGGGAAATGGCGGGAAGGTGGGAATGGTGTGAAGGAACAGCTACTGAATCATGGGCTCCAAGTCTGGTCACCCTGCCTTACCAGAAGACACACAAGAAAGGGAGTGAGAGGCCCTCTGTCTAGTGTGGGGGTCCAATGATACCAGATATTAAAAATGGAAGGAAAACTTACATGCTGAGTCTTGGTTTACAACTGAAGAATGGTTAAAAAAAATCAAGTTAGTATAGAGATCATAATATTTGTATATATCTGTAAGGGGGACTCCTATCCAGCAGCAGCTGGCCCCTGGGTGTTGGCACATAGCCCTGATCTGCCTTTTGTCTGCAGCACCTCCTGTTGGACATACATGAATCATGTATGAAGAGTTTCCCCAAGGTGCAAAGCCTACACAAAACTTAGTTTAAGGAAAACCCAGGCATCTGTGGCATCCTTATCTGAGAATTTGCATTTGGCATTGTCCCTCTGGAGGGCTTAGATCAAAGACTTTGGTATATGGATTGACTTGTTAAAGGTGTGAATTGTTAACAGTAAATGGGCCCTTTGCTCAGGGAGAGAAATCCACCCTGCAGCTGGAAAAGGACTAAACTCATTCCTGAGGAGCCTCTGTACTTCTTTCCCGGACCCAAGTGAACACCTTGAATAAAACAACGGCTCACACACTGCACCTACGTTATGTCCTGAGACCATTTTCGAGAGCTACACCCAGGATGCATTAGGCCATCCACTCACTGCCCAGTAGACACAACACCATCTCTCTTTGCTTGGTCACTGTGGTGATTTGAGATTTTAAAATCTGGACTAAGTTCTTAAACACACAGGGTTTGAGATGCCTTCCCTAGGGTACCACAGCCTGGTGACGGTCTGTGCAGGTGCCTCTAGGGAAGATTTCCCACCTCCATGGATCCTACAGCTCTTGAGCCTCAGGGATGCACACGTTTTTGCTGAAGACTTTAGCTATAATTACACGCTTTCCTTTTTTTTTTTTTTTTTTTTTTTTTTTTGGCTAACCAGAGTCAGGGGCCATATCCTCATGAATTCACCAGCGACCTGAGGATAATCTATGTCTTAATGCTGTCTGCCATCGTGGGTCTAACACTAATCTGATGTCCCTGCACACTTCCCCTCCCCCGAGCCCCTGCTCTCTGAAACTCCATCAAACAGGAGGTGTCTGAACTCATGCTGGGGACCTTCCCCGCCTTGCTACAGGGTTGCATCGCCACCCTCTTTTGACAGCTAGACAGTCAGTCCTGTGTCGTTTGGTGATCAGAGAACAGGAGGGATGAGTGCTGGGACTTCACAGCAGAGCGTTGTATTTTTGGTTGTGAGCCTTTAATGGCTGAGCCTTCGCTCCTCCGGCCCCAGCAGTGCCTAATGATTGCAGTTAGTAACATATGTAATTGCAGGTAGTAACATAAGTAACTGCAGTTAGAAGCATGCATATTCTAAGGTTGCTGTGAGCCTGTGTTAACGCTACAGCAAGTAGTAACATGTAACTGCAGTTAGAAACATGCATATTCTAAAGTTGCTGTGAGCCTGTGTTAACATAGCAAGTAGTAACATATGTAACTGCAGTTAGAAACATGCATATTCTAAAGTTGCTGTGAGCCTGTGTTAACACTACAGCATGTGACTATATATTAATCAGTGTGATGTAGACACTGTATAATAAATACATAAGTACAAACATGCCATGCTGTATACTATAAGTAGCAATTAAGAATTCTGACTCCCCCCACCCCCCCAAACCCACCATGCCTTTTGGAGCCACTGAGTGCTGGCCGCTTAAAGACTCCACACCCACAGCCGCAGGAAAATGTCTTCTTTCTAGATAAGCCCCTTCTTCAGATGCCCCTGTGGTCTTTGGAGCTCCTGCACTCCCTGCCTGCAGCTCGAAGCCGTCTCAACTGTTCTATGCGCTACAGGAAGAAGCCTTTCCAAGTGCGGACTCCACTATTCTCCTTCCCTGGCTGGACCTTCCCAGGCGCGGACGGTGGCCAGCGTTGCTGTTCTCTGCTTTGCTCTCAGAGGCCTTCTCTGGTCCAGCCTCTCCTGCTGTCGCCCTCCATTGGCAGCTGCTGGTCTTGCAGTCTGCCACCTTGCCATTCTCTTTCAGCCTCAGGAATTTGACTCTTTCTGCTGGGGCCTCCTTTTGCCTTGCAGATGTCAGTTCAGGTCTCCTTTCAAACCCAGCTATCTTACCCTGGCTCTGACCCTCCACCTTCGGCTCCTTCTCTGCCCCACCTAATCTACTGTCCCAAAGTTCTGGTCTCCGGTCTGAGCAAGTTTAAGTGTATTTGTGTATTTTTCGTCTTACTTGGCTAGGACCTGTGCTCTGCAAGACGGGGGCCACAGCTGGCTTGCTCATTCGGGAACAGCCTGTGGTTGCACGGTAAACACTCTGCACGCGCCAGGCACGCACACAAGCAAATCGTGTGACTTTCTAACGTGTTCCAACGCCCAGTTCTTCTCTAGTTTTCTCTACCTTTTCTTTTCCTACCAGCTCGGAATATTCACCTCCTTCATCAAGGATCCAAGATATTTATGGTTACTGTGGCCAGAGCTGGGAAGTGAGCTCATTGATCATTTACACATGCAAACCCCAGGAGGCCGGTGAGTGTAGACACAGGCTGGCACCTGTTGTCTGATCCCTGATCCTGTTTGCTTCCTCAGTCCACAGTTTCCAACTCTCTGGTTGTCAGCTAAATCCATCATTACGATATAGTCTGCACAATCTAGAGTTTAGCACTGGACGACTCACTTGGAAGTGCACAGTCCAGCAGCAGGAAGTGCATCCACTAGGTAGTGAGATCCTACAGGGTAAGGGGTGGGTGGGCCCAGCATCAGGACCGTAGTTCGGCCTGTGCCTCTCCAGCCACAGCAACTACAACTCACTGTGTCGATAACACTTTTCCGTGCTCGTTCCCCGAGAGGTGGCAGGACACATGGAAGATCTGAGTTGATTACTTCTCAAATATTTAAATCAGAAAAGACCTAGTTTGTTCCTATAAGAAATTATCCTTTAATCAGTCTGCCACAAGACCCAGCGATTCCACTCTTAGGCGTATACCCTAATGATGCACATTCGTATAACAAGGATGTCTGCTCCACTGTGTTCATAGCAGCACTATTTGTAATAGCTAGAACCTGGAAGCAACCTAGATGCCCCTCAACTGAAGAGTGGATAGAGAAAATGTGGTACATTTACACAATGGAGTACTACTCAGTGGAAAAAAACGATGGAATCTTGAAATTTGCAGGCGAATGGATGGCACTAGAAGAAACCACACTGAGTGAGGTAACCCAGGCACAGAAAGAGAAACGTGGTATGTACTCACTCATATATGGATTTTAGACATGAACCAGGGAAGTGCCAGCATACAGTCCCACTGCCAGAGAGTCTGGGAAACAGAACCTTCATCTAAAGACTGATGAAAGCAGAGGCAGATACCCACTGAACTGAAATCCTGGAATCCAGTGTCAGAAAGGGAGAACTGATGGGCAAAGGAGTTAAGAGTGGGCTGGTTTAACCCACAGAAACAGTTGACCTGAACAAGTGGGAGCTCTTGGACCCCAGATTGATGGCTGTGTGGCAAGCGTGGGACTGACTCAGACCCCCTGAATGTGGGTGTCAGTGAGGAGGCCTAGGTAATCTATGGGGCTTTGGATAGTATTCATCCCTGGTGTACAAATAGACTTTGAGTGCCCATCCCACAATGAGGGATGTCATACAAAGCTCTGTAGTCCCTCACAGACAGGTGACACCATGTCTCTCTTCTGCATCCCCTATTCTCGTCGAATCCCCTCATCCCTGTTGGCCTCCTTTTTATCCAGTCCTTGTTCTACAGATTTGGGAATCGCCATCTTGATAAGTCACAAGGAACTTCTGCTTACTTTCTGTACTTGGGCCGAGTATTGGGGTGTCTGGTTATAGTGAACCAAGAAATGTGGGGGAGGAGGGGGTGGTTCTGGAAAGCTTCCCAGGCATGGGGCCAACTGTTGGCAGAGCTGAAGAAAAGTGAAGCGAAACCCTGCCTCAAAAAACAAAAACAAAAACAAAAAAACCCCCAAAACAAAACAAAACAAAACAAAAACCCAAAAGTGAAGGACTTACCAGGATTGGATCGGCACGGTCCTGAAAGCAAAAAACAAAACACTAGCGTGAGTGCTTCTCGGCTCTGAGAGAGCTCTGTGGATGTTGCCTTGACACCAGGCTGAAGGAAAGAGCCACGCCCCCCTTCTCTGCCATTGGTCGGAGGCAGCGCGGCGAGCAGGCGTCTCTGCACCACCCTCCCGGGCCCCAGACTCTGGTGTGCTTCCTGAGCGTCACTGGCAGTAGAGAGGAAGACTAGAATTCGCAGGAGCAAAGATCAGACACCTTGAGAAAGAGCAGAATAAAACTAACAAGTGTGGAAAAGATGACCATTTTATCCAAAGATCCGTCACATAGATAAATAGAACGAACTCAGCCGAAGAAAGAGCAAATGAGGTCTAGGGGAATTATCCAGGGACTGCCTGTTGGTCACTGTGCTGACTGGTCCTTATGTCAGCTGGATACAAGCTAGAGTCATCCGAAGGGAGGGACTCTCAGTAGAGAAGATGACTTTGTAAGATCAGGCTGTAAAGACATTTGAGTAGAGATTGATGGGGTGGACCCAGACCATTGTGGATGGACGAGACAGGAAGAGGAATGTGCGAATGCAGGTGACCAGGTAACATGGAGCTTGACAGAATTCTGTGACCCCTGAGGAAGGCAGGAGGCTGTGAGCCAAGGGAATCAGGCAAGCTGCTAACTGAAAAAACAAGGGGACACCCGCAGGAGGGGTGCAGATCTACTGACGCCCCAATTAGATGCGTGTGGCGCCCTTCTGCCTGCTGAACTATCGGGCAACGTTGGCGTCTCAAGGCAGAAAGCTGAGGTAATTTGTTACAACCACACAGCCAGCCAATCCTGCCCTTGCAGTTAGGTGTGCGGTGCTCTGACTGAGGTCTAGCCTGCCCACTGCCACAGCTGACAAGTAAGACAACACCCAGGATGGAGAGGAGCCCCTTCTAAGGACACCCAGAGATCTGCTTCCGATCACTTGACGGCGGGCAGCAGGAGGCAACGTTAGGGTCATTAACTGGAGGGGTGGATGAGATGAGCTGCTCGGGCCACGGCTGCGAGAAGGGCACTGGCGTCCAGGCAGGACTTGCTTGCAGGCTGGGTGGGTGGTACACTCCTGCTGCCAGTGCTAGGAAAACCTGAATCAAAGGCTAGCCTGGGCTACATAGTTAAGAACCCCCCCCGTCATAAGCCACTTATCTTCAGATGTTAGTCTTTATTACAAGACGGGTTTAATTGCATGGAGACGAGACATGGGTGGGAAGGACCGAGACCTGAGGCATGAAGAGGCTTCCCTAACATGTATCTCCATACGTGTTAGCTCGAGGGAGAGAAACTATGGCTTGCTAGGTAGATGAAGATGTGGATGGGAGTGGAAGGCAGGGGCGTATCCACAGCAATTAAGGTAGGTGATGCTTTGTATTAACTAAAGAAAGATTCCCGAGTCAACAGATTGGAAAACCCTGAATCCTTCGTCGGGTGAACGGGGCCCAGTCCCACGTGCAGGGGCAGCGCGGCGGCTACTACACAGGATGCAAGGACAAAGAGAAGCCTAAAAGTATCTTCGCTTAGGATCGATCATCAAAGTAGATCTTTATCAACAATGACAAAACCAAGAGTGACCGAGAAAATAAATAGGTAAGCGCCAAAGGAAGGAAACGGAATTCCATTCTGTGTTTAGAGAATTGAGATATGAGTCTGGAGTCAGGGTACTTTCAGTCCACAGGGAAGTTGGGAGAACAGCTCCTGACACTCAGGGAGGAGAGGCCAGTTGCCCGTGAGATGCAGATCAAAGCCGCAAAACAGAAGTTCTGCGGGGCCCATACTGATGGGGTGATTACCCTTTGCTTACAAACGCCCACTGGCGTGGGAAGAAAGCCTGTTGGGAGATGAGCCACTACACGTTACTGTCTAGTAGAAAATGATGGTTGTCTCCACTGAAAAGCAATTAGTGAGAATGCCTACTACAGACTTAAGGTGAACAAAGCAAACCCAGCCAAACAGCAAAGCCAAACACGACAGAAAAAGAAGGCACAGGGCAGAGATGGTGTCAGTTAACGGACTCAATTAGTTGACTTCTAAACAAGAACTAGACCCCCCCACTTTATTTCCAAAGTAACCCTCCAGGAGAAAATTTAAAAAATCTTTTGGAGTAAGGTTTCATACATAGAAACACAACCTTTGTAATGATAAGATAACAGCTTAAGACAGTAGCTTATGGTACCCACGAGAGAAAAAAAAAAAACAAGGTAAGTACAGACTTGAAAGATTGACCTGCTGTGTTACAGGGGTTGCGCACTGGGGGAAGGGGTTGGAGGCAACCAAGAGACAGCATGAGGGAATTAGAAGAGCTGCTGAGACTTCCCCAGGAGGGAAAACGGTAGAAAAATACTGTATATCCACAAGTTGTGATTTTATTCCACAACTGAGATACACAAACTACATTTCTGTATTTGTCAGCATTAAGGTTTTGAGGAAAATGCAAATTGTGATGATGATGCCTCAAAAAAAAAAAAAGATAGCGTTTCAGTAAAAATTACACAGCAACAAATAACGCCGCATGGCATTCAGGGATAGAGTAAACAACACAAGTAGACATTAAAGACCATGATTCACCCGTGCGTCTTACTTAGGGTGGGGTAGAGGGAGGGTCTCTAATGGGGACAAAGGACTTTCAGCTCTATTTACTACTTGAGAAATAGGACAAACTACTAGCGATAGCCACAACGAAGGTGTTTACGCTCAGCGAGGGCTCGTTCATACAGTGAAGGTGTGGAACACACGCCACGTGGTGCTTGCACATCAAGGGTGTGCGCACAAACTGCATTTGCCCATTGTACCAGAGTGGGCACACACATTGAGGGTGCTTACACAATGGGAGTGTGAGGGTGCTACATACACAGTGTTAATTATTTTTGTATCTTATTTTAAAAGCACTTAAAAGGGAGAAAAACAACAACAACAACAAGTAGACAAACCATAGGACTTAAACAGCAGGGCGTGTTAGAATTGAAAGCAAGCCATGGAACACTCACCCAGGGAGTTGGCTGACTGTACCCTCAGGGAGGTGGCTGATGGTATTCCCAGACAAATAGCAGATGGTGCTAAAACACATAAACAGAAGCTCAGGCGGTCGGCAGGCAGAATCTGGGCTCCTAACCTTTGCCTGTCAGCCCCGTGCAAACGCTGTTGCTGCGGGACTGCTCTAGCAGTGGGAACTGAACTTAGAGCCTGTGCTGGTCAGTTCGATGTCACCTTGACACAAACTAGAGTCACTGGGCTAGGAGGGAGCCATTGTGGATGGCGTCATCCCTGGGCAAGTGCCCTGGGTTCTATAGGAAAGCAGGCTGAGCGAGCCAGTAAGTAGCTCCCCTCCGTGGCCTCTGCATCAGCTCCGGCCTCCAGGTTCCTGCCCTGGGTGAGTTCCTGACTTAACTTCCTTGGATGACCAACAGTGATGGGGGGGGGTGGGGAGGTGTGAGTCAGACAAACCCTGTCCTCCCCAAGTTGCTTTGGACACGGTGTCTCATTGCAGCAACAGTCACCCTGACTTAAGACTGGGCATTGCACATGCTAAGCAAACACTCAGCCGCTGAGCTGTGTCCCCGGGACACATCAGTGTAAAACTCTGAGGCTCAGGTCTCCAGCTGTCTTTCCCCCTTCCTCTCTCTTTTCCTGCTCTCCTCCTCCATCTTCCCCTCCTTTCTAGGTTTTGTTTGTTTTCTCCTTTTCTTCTAGGTGATCTGTGGCTAAGTCAGAACTGGGTGTGGGGGTGCAGGTGACTCGTGTGTGTGTGTGTTTGGGGGGACTTTGTCCTTTCCTAAACACAACCTTAGGAAGGTGCTATAGTTTCAAGAAGTGAGACAATACTTACTGAGGACTCCTTTGGCCACTTCTGAAAACACACACACACACAAAAGAAAGAAACGTCAGTTTGTAACATAGTGGTAGTGTTAGTAACAGTGTAGAGGCTACCCAAGCAACATCACCAGAGAGCAGGCAGGCAGCGAGCCAGAGGCAACATCTCTGTTAAATGAACAAGTGGATGGAGGCTAGCCAAGGCAAATAATTTACGGAAGAAACATAAGGGATGGAGACATTAAGTGGGGGATATATCAACTATCACAGGAGCTGGAGGAGACTAGGAGAGGGTTGGTAGGATAGTTACTCAGATGCCCGAGAATTTAACTTTAAAGGGTACCATACTTTAACTGTACATGCATGCATTTGTAATCAGTGGATGAACTTCTGGAGAGCTAACACTTGGATTTTAGTGATGCCATAGCAATAGAATTTCCAAAGGATCTGGAGGCGGGCAAAGCATACACAAACACTACCCTCCTCTCTCTTATGAACTCAGGAACTTGGCACTGCTGTTGATCTGTGTTGATGCCTGGCAGCAGGGGTATCTGGTATTCTACTGAAGCCTAGTTGACTTGTCTGGAGGTATTGGAACACCAGTTTTGGTTTCCTTCCCTGAAAATGGGTGGCTGCTTTCCCTCCTCCCCGGGTGTGTTGCCTTAGTTAGGTTTCTGTTGAGGTGATACAAAAGCCACCCCGGGGAAGGCAAGTGTTTATTTCATCCTATGGTTTCCCATTCTTCACGAAGGGAATTCAGGGAAGGAGCTCAAGGAGGTGCCTGGAGGCAAGAACCCAAGCCGAGGCCAAGGGGAAGCGCAGCAGCTAACTGTTACTGCTTCCCCATGGCTTGCTCAGCAACCCAGGACCACCTGCTGGGGGAGGGGCAGTCAGGGAGAGGGGGTGGCACTGTCCGCAGTGGGCTGGACCCACCATCAACCACCAACAGAGAGAATGCTCCACAGGCTTGCTCACCGTCTGATGGAGGCGCTTTCTCAGGTGTGGTTCCTCTTCCCAGGTGACTAGCTGTGTCAGGTTGTCAAGACAACACACACACACACATGCGTGCACATACACACACACTTACACACTTATACACACACATGCGTGCACATACACAAACACTTACACACTTATACACACACACACACAGCTAGCAGGACAGATGACCTTATGGGGGGTTAATTTAAAGCACATGAAAATTTCTCTTCTACCATACTTCTTCTCATGGCTTTTACTGTGTGCATGAGTGTGTGAGTTGCATATATAGTTGTTTGCACATGTGTGCACATGTACACATGAGTGCCCGTGCAAAAGGGAGCGTGCATGTGGGGACCAGAGGTCAGCATTGGATATCTCTCCCACTCGTTCTCACCTTACTTCGTTAATTTATTTGGCAGTGCTGGGGATCAAACTCAGGGCCTGTGCACGCCCAGCAGTACCCTATGGCTAACCTGCACTGCCCGCTCTGTTCCTTCACTTCAGGTTTTTGAGATTAGTCTTGAAACTCACCAGTCTGGCTTAGGATGGCCGACCTATGAGCACTAGGGATCAGGCCACATCTGTCCCCAACAATGCTGTCTCTGTATTTGGCTTTATGTGGGTGCCAGGGATCTAAACTTAGACCCGTGTGCATGATATATTTGAGATTTGTTATAAATTGCAACACTTAGGCACTGTATATACATTTTCCTATAACATTAAGCTTGTGTTCAATTAGATGTCAAAATGTTTACATTATCATAGCAACCTTTTCAGTTTCTGCGTTTCATTTAAACTAAACTAAACTTTAAACACAAAATTTCATGCATCTAAACTAACATCCTGACTTCCATAAGTCTCAGTTTACTGGCTAATGAATATTCTCTTATGTTCAGAAGTGACGGAAAGGGAACCGGCAAGAGCTTGGGCACCCAGAAACTTAGGATAGTTGGGATGTATAGGCCACTTTAGTCTTTATGCGTTTTCAAGTTTGGTTTATCCGCACATAGTAAAATATCTCCCTAAGGATGCAAAACATCCACAGGCAGGAATGAGCAATTAGTGCTGAATCCTGTGATAATTAAGTTAGGGCCAAGTAATTCTATGTGTGCACCTGCACTGAGCCATCAGCAACCCCACACCACAGCACTGGACAAACCCTTGACATTTCTCGTGAATAAGTTTCTCTCCTGTAGGAGAGTGGCCGTCTGAGTAAATAAGCGATTTACATAAGAGCTGATCGCCACGCGCCGCGCCCCCAGCCCTACACCCCCCCCCCCATGGTTCACATCTTCAGAGCTTCTGTATTGCAGGGAGTAGTTCCGGTTGTTTATTGCACAGGGAATCCTGCACTGTGTTCCTGCTGCGGGGCTTTGTGGGCCTGGAACAGTGTCCTCCACTGTAAGCGAGAGGTGGCCTGTGATGTCATGCGGCTGCCTGAGTTGCTTGTAGAGACAAGACGACAAGGGTCCACTGGAGGAGCCAGCACACGGTAGGTGCTGAGTGTGTGTTGATCCTCTCCATGTCCTGTTGTGGAAGGCTTTGCTTGGCAGCCTTAAATCTCTCGCACCAAGGTAGTTTCGGCTGGATGTGCTCTAAGGAGTGACTAACTGTCACCGAGGAGGTGAGTCCCCAAGAATTAGGAGCCGCAGTGACACCGCCAGACAGGGGCCATACTTCTTTGAACCCCGGGAGCTTCATTGTCCAAATGAGACCATAGTGCAAACAATCCCCCTCCCCCGACCCTGTATTAACACGAAGGAAGGGAGCACCGAGATCTGGACACTGGATTTCCCTGTAGCACTCGGGGTGTTTTCTTTTTCTGCCTGGGTTGGGGTGCAATTGGCACAGGGTTGTGTAGCTTCATGATGGTTTGATATTAACATTGCAAAATCATCACCAAATTCAAAAGCAAATAAGCATGCTAATCAATCCACAGATGTCATTTTTTTCTTGCCATGACAAGAATGCTTCACACCCATTCATGGAGGGAACTACAAGGCATACGTCAGCCATTCTGTCATTATTTCTTTAGGACTTACCTCCCCTTTAGAACGGTGAGTTTGTGCCTTGGACAAGCATTGTCCGTTCTTTCTCCCTTGGTCGTTAGTAACTGCCTTTCTAATCTCTGTTTGTAGGAATTCATTTATTTTTTTACTCATTTGTTGAGAATTCCATACATGAATATTGTGTTTACATCATTTCTTCCTCACTTCTCTGCCCTCCAACTCCTCAAATTCATGGTCTCCTATTTTTGTTTTTTATTACATGTATACAAATTGCCCTTCCTACTGCTTCTCAAATCCTTCTATTTTAATTATTTTGTTCTTACCCCTGCCCACTGCCCAGTTCACTCCTGAGAAAAGTCAGGGCAGTAACTCAAACAGAACAAGGGCCTGGAGGCGGGAACTGGAGCAGGAGCCGCCGAGGAGCATTGCTTCCTTCCTGGAGCAGGAGCTGATGAGGAGCATTGCTTCCTTCCTGGAGCAGGAGCAGCGCCTGCTTCCTTACTGGTTCCTCATGACTCGCTCAGCCTGAATTCTTACACAGGGCTATCTAGCCAGGGATGGCGCCACTGCACCAACCACCAAGCAATAAAATGCACCACAGGCTTCCTATAGGTCTACCTGCTAGAGGCATTTTCTTAGCTGGGATCTTAGCAGTTGACATAAAGTGACTAGCACAGACGTTTTAATATGGCGAGTCTTCCAAACCGGAACACAGTATTTCTTTCCATTTTCTTGTGTGTTCCTCGATTTCCTTAATCAACGCACTGTTGCTTTCTGTAAGCAGACCTTCCCCTCCTTGGACTTACTGTTGCTTTCTATAAGCAGACCTTCCCCTCCTTGGTTTTTCAGTCAGCCCATTGCCAGTGTAGAGAAATGCTGCTGGTTTCTGTATCGTGTTTGTTTGTTTGCTTGTTTGTTTTAATGCCCCGCACTGCAACAAAACTTTTGGTCTTGATGACTTTCTGATGGAACATGGGGTTTTCTACATGCAAGGCCATATCTGCAAACAGGTGTCGTTTTCCTGATTTCTACGTCTTTTCGCCAAATTGCTCTGGGTAGGACTTTCAATACTACTTTAAATACAAATGGTGAGAGTGGACATCCTGACAATGGAGGGAAAAGATTCGGAAGGTGATATTTGCTTTAGTGCTGTCACTTGGGTACTTCATTTGTTGAGGTACCTTCCCTGTGCACCAACTTACTAATCACAGAAGAATGGTGGATTTTGCAAATGCCTTTTCTACAAATCTAGATATGGCCATATGGCTTTACTCCTTTATTTTTTTAATCTTGCTTTATTGATTTGTATGCAGGAATAAGTACCCTTACTGATCATGGTGATTTACTCTTTTTTAAAAATACATAATTTGGTCTGCCTGTGTTTTGTCCATTGTTTTTGCACATGGTTCTCTGGTGATGGCAGCTGGTATCTTCTCTTGGTGTTTTTGCCTGACTTTGGTATCAATGCAGAGCAGTCCTGGGAGAGTGTGCCTTGAAGCAATCTTGAGCTTGAGAGATGGGACTGGGGGCTGGAAAGATGACTCAGAGGTTAAGGGCACCGACAGCTCTTCCAGAGGTCCTGAGTTCAATTCCCAGCAACCACATGGTGGCTCACAACCATCTGTAATGAGATTTTTTTGTGCCCTCTTCTGGCGTGGAGGCACACATGCAGGCAGGACACTGTATACATAATAAATAAATAAATCTTAAAAAAACACCCATGCATATAAAATAAAAAGCAAATTTAAAAAAAGTGAAGAGAGATGGGATTGATTGTGGAGTGTTAGATCAATTCACTTGTGTGTGGGCCTAGACTTTTGCAAATAGCTGATTTTTTTTTAATCCACCTGACAGGATCTGATGGGAGCTGCTTCCAGATGCCATCCTGGGGAGACACTTAGGAAGTGGGCCACTGAGAGGGAGAGTGTCAGGAGTCCCAGGGAAGTTAGTCCCAGGAAGTGGTTTATGGGAAATGTTCTTGATGGAGTCTGTGGAACATTGTCTGGAAGCTCATCTTTGCCAACTTTGCCCATGGCAGGGTGGAAAGTGTCAACGTGAGAACGTCTAAGACTCCCAGGGCTGCTTGGGGGATTGTCTCCTCAGGATTTTTTTTTCCTTTTCCTCTCAGTCAACCATCCTGGTACTCAGAGGCCATCTAAGGGAGCATGGTGGCCCCCCTGCTGTTCCTGAAGCCTGTGTGTGATGCTGTTTTCGCAAGCGTGCAGAATGTAAGGGCTGTATAGCAATGGAGACTTCCTCCAAGACCTCCGACGTTCTGAGAGTCTCTGGTGCTCGTCGGTCATAGCTGGACCACCCGCGAGACGGGGACGTGCGGGTAGATGGAAATGAAGCTAAAGAGAGCCCTGGGAGGACCCTAAGAAGTTGGGGGTGTCGGGTCTGTGGAGTGCCTGCTCAGAGAAGCCACGGGTGGTGAATGGAGTTGGCCCTGGAGAGAGCCTAGGTGGGCTGCGGATGGGGGAGGTAGCGTGGGAACTGGCAATCCCGGGAGCTCACGTGGCACCACCTGCGTTGCTGATGCTGCGCTCAGGGACCCAGAGTTCTGCTGGACTGCGGACTGCTTCAGTCTGGGTTTCCTTCTGTTGCTTCGCCTCTCCCTTTCGGAGTGAGGGCATTTGCCGTGTGCCGCTGCCGCCGCCACCACCGCTGCTGTTGCTGCTGCTGCTGCGTCTGGGAGCTCTGTGACTTGTTTGTTCTGGTTTTTGAAGACGTCCAGAGTCCTGAGTTTGCCTCAAGTCTCGGGCATGGGGCTTGGGTGTGGTTTGACCTGTCCTGGAAGCACTGAGACTTTGGGGCTCCTTGCCGGGAGGACGTAGATGTATTTTGTAGTCTGGAATGCACACAAGCCTGTGGTTTGGATCTCAGCTGTGCCCCAGAAGGTCACAGGTCGAAGGCTTGGTCCCCAGGGCAGGGTCCGGAGGTGAAGCCCTTTGGGAGGTGACTGGATCACGAACACTGTCACCTCATGACTGGATTGATTTATTTACGAACCATGGATTAACAACGGGCTTTGGACGAGGGCCTTCCATGGAAGCGAGCGTTCTCTTCTTTCCCTGAGCAGTTTCCATCCATCCCCACATGCTCCTTGCCGTAACTTCAAAGTGACTGGATCAAGGCTCCACGGAGGGAACACGATGAGTAACACCTGGTCCTTATGGATCCTTCCATTAGGAGAAAGATTGATGTTCTCTCTAATTTCACCATAAATATACTCATCTCAGCCACCCCATGAAATGCCTAGAGGTCTGAAGAAAAGTGTAAGATTCTTACTCTCTTCTAAACTGACTTGTTATCTCTTAACAAGCCAGTGTCTAGTTTATTTACCACATTCTGCTGACACCGAACATGGGGACCCTGAAGGAAAGGACACATAATGAGGCTCTGGATGGAGCATGCTAGTGTGTCTAAGCTGCCTATGAAATGAAATTGAGTTTACCTCCTTTTACTTTCTTCTGTTTCGTGCAGCAAACACCTTGTGTGAAAGAAAGAGAAAACAGACTAAGTTACCAGCATCTCGCCACAAGATAAATTTACCACTATCCCACATCGCCGCTAAGCACTTTCCCAGACCTTCCCATTCGTTCATCTTTAACTTCGGAAGACAAAGAGGATTTAGAAGCTCTTGGCTCTCCACTCTAGCCTGTCATAAAGACGGCAGTGAGCATAAATGGAGGGTGCATGCAGCAACCTGAGTGACCAGACTTTCCTCAATGACGGGGGATTGATGTTTGCTGTGTGTGTGTGTGTGTGTGTGTGTGTGTGTGTGTGTGTGCAGTGTGTGTGGTTGCTTCGACAACCCAAAGTTCCATGATCCTTTAGTTATAGATTGGTTGGCGGGGCCAGTTTAGTGGCTTCAAACGGGAATGAGAGGCTGTAACTACCGGGAGAATGAACCGAGGGCACAGCCACGGGCAGACATTGAGAGAAAGTTTCAAGGGAGAACGGCTGCAGCGCCGAGGTGTCAGAGAGAAGGACACCGGTGCCACACTGAAACCAGAGGCCCGTGTGAGTCCCTGTAGGAAACCTCGGTGCCTCAGGGTCCCCTCAGAGTCATCAAGTTTCTGGAGGTGTCTTATTTTAAATTGCCTTTGTAAGGACTCTGGGTTCACACCAGCCTACATAGCTCAGTTTTGTGGACGACCTAACTAGAAGTAATGCTAGCCGCTGAAATCCAGCATTCAACAATCCTCTTTTCTCTAAGTCTAGTGGGTGCACTTAGGTTAGATCTGAGCACTCGAGTTGCTAGCCTCAACTCAGAACCCGGCTTCTCCTCTAGTGGAGGAGCATGGATGAGTATCAGCTGTTGAGGCAATTAGCTTCATTTTCTAAAACAGTGTTCATAAATGTGTGTGTCTTGGTTTACTGTATAGCTTCCAAAGTATCTCTTCAATGTGCTATTTTACCTCCATGACAATCTATAAACTATGTATTTTATCCATTTATCCAGTTTATTTTATGTGTATAGGATGTCTTGCCTACATCTATGTCTGTGCTCTTAACCGCTGAGCCATCTCTCCAGCCCCTTTTCATCCTGTCTTAAACATCTGTGGACCTGTTTCATAAAGAATCTTACAGATCTTGGGAGCTGGAGTAAGCAAGAGGTGGAAATTAGTTATTTTAATGGTCTTTAGAGGGAGAAATGTTTTCCCTTTTTGGGAAAACCGCACAGCTGCCATGCATCTGTGTGTGCGTGAGCATTAGAGGAAGGCGGTTGGAAGCCTAGCAGAATGCTGCGTGTACACAAGACACTGAAAGGGAGAAGAAGATGGTATTCCCTAAGGAAAACATTCTTCCGGAATTGTCTATAGCTACTAATCTCTTTGTCCCTACCATCCTCGTAATCCAGGAGCCCGGCACCTAGGAAGAAAGGAGAAACAGCTCTGTGATTGTGTTTCTTCACCTAAGAGTTGACATAAGCACAAATTTCCAGGATGGGAGAAGCATGTGGGTTAACTGTGAAGGGACCGTTTAGAATGTTGGCACGGTCAGGTGACCGGGAAGGGGCGGGGCTGTCACTGCAGCGCCCAGCTCCCTCCTTCCGTGCGGTGCCCTGGGCTATGTTGGCACGGTCAGGTGACCGGGAAGGGGCGGGGCTGTCACTGCAGCGCCCAGCTCCCTCTTTCCGTGCAGTGCCCTGGGTGAGCTTCTCAGAGACATTGCTATCTTTTCCCGCCCCATCACAGGAACCTTAGCTGGATCCGCTCTCACCGTCCTGATGGTTAGAGCCTTCTGCCCAGCTACCTTATGGAGGCCTCTTCACAGTGAGACCTAGACCTCCCAATGAGCCATCCGTCTAAAGCCCGAAGGATCTGTTGTATGCCAGGGCTCAGTGTTTCTGCTGGCCACTGAGGGGAGCCTCGGGACCATGGACGCTCACACACTACTGATCCATTCTAGCAGATCTCCGGCAGGATTCCCTTAGAAACTCAAAGGTGTAGTTTCGTGGGATGGTATACTCTATCAAATTCTGGAAGCACACGGGTGAGCCACACATACACACACGCACGCACGCACGCACGCACGCACGCACGCACACAGAATCCACAGGCGCCCGGCGCTTCGTCACGGGAGGCTTCGGATACTCACTTTGTTCTGAAGCGTATCTGGAGACCTGTACCGCTGTGGAAGGGTTAGGCAGATGTTTCGTTAGCTGTTGACAGAGGCGCTCTTCCCGACCCCCAACCTTCCTTACTCTAAACTTTGCCCCCACGGTGGTCCCCCTGACGGGATACTGAGTCCTCCCTTTCCAACACCCCATCCTCATCCAGCCCTGTCGTGCTAGGCTGTTTTCTCTGAGGGCTCGCAGGTACTGAGGGGAGGAGATCTGGGGAAGGCAGTGATGGGAAGGAAGCAGGGCAGGTATTGAGGGGGACACTGTGGAGAGGGACCTGAATGTTGCGTCCCACTCCTCCTACGGGCGCCCCCGATTCGTGTGGCTGTCTCCAAAGCTGCCGCTCACAGCCCCGCGTGCCCCCTGCGCTGTAAGATGTGGCTTTCTGCCAGCGTCCTGTTTTCTCCTATTTTCAGACAGCTATAGGCTTTGGGCCACCCACAGACCGCTGCTGCCATCCTACTGCTCTGTCCCCGCCCCTCTGGAACTGAGACAGGTTTTGCTTTAAAGTATTCTCATTCCTCTCGCTAATTCTTGCGTCTCTGTTGGCAGTGCTGATGGCGTAAGCTTTGGAATCTCACTCTGTGAGCAGAGACACTAAGCAGGAAAAGCTCTCAATGTCTGTGTGGGACACGCTCTGGGCACACCGGCAAAGCCTGTAGCTGCAGCTCCTCTTCCCTCCCCCGGAGACTTTCATGGGGAGTCGCTGTGGCTACTCACCATTTTGCCTACGACGTGTCCATCTTGCTATCAGGATAGCCAGGATAGCAAGGCCCAGCAGACTCAGGATGACAGCTAAAATTACTTCTGAAACAAAAAGACAGCTATAGGCGTTGGCCACCCAGAGACAGCTGCTGCCATCGTACGGCTCTGTCCCTCCCCTTTCTTCCTCAACTCTTTAACTCATTTAGTGTTGTTTCTAGATGAAGTCTCACACAGCCCAGACTGGTCTTGCACTCATTATGTAAGCGAGGCTGGTACTGATTCCTGATTTCTCCTGCAAGCTTGGCCTTCCACGCACAGGGATTACAAACTGCGCGGCCAAGCTCAGCATCTGCCATTCCTGTCCCAGCCCAGTTTGAGCTCTTATGCTTGTTCTCTTGGCTCTGTAAGAGCCCTGGCTGCTATAATCTCGTGTTTAAATTGGGCAATCTGAGGGATCCCCTTCTCCATGGAGCCCCTCAGTGGGGCGGGAGAAAGCGGAGGGGGTGGGGAGGGGGGGAGAGTAAGTGGTCCAGCAAAGCAGTCCTCTGAGGGGGAAAAAAAATAGAACTTCTATTTTTTTTTTTTGGTTTTTACGAGACAGGGTTTCTCTGTATTGTTTTGGAGGCTGTCGGTCCAGCCCGGCCTCGAACTCACAGAGATCCGCCTGCCTCTGCCTCCCGAGTGCTGAGAACTATTTTTGTGTGCATAAAACCTTTTATGCATACATTTCCCATTTTGTTTAAGACATAAATGTATTTGTGCACTCATAAGATTTACAGCTGTACACATGTAGCAACGTATAGTTGCACAGTCCAGCAGCCAAAGGTTTTGAAGGCCCTGGAAAGGTGCTGTCTGAAGGTAATGATATTAATGTGAGCGCATGAGAGTATAGACATTTCTTATCAACGAGGAAGGCCTAGGAGTTGCCGCCCACTGAGCCGAATGATATGCTTGTGAACTTTGTCACAGGGACTGGAAGACTGTCTGTATATCTGTATGGTTGATTGGCATTTGATATTTAAGACAGAGCAGAAAAGACAATGAGTGTGTGTGGGGGGACACACACACCCATAGCAACTACAAGTCTGTCGCTACAGTGGAAACGCTAAAGCCTATCAAACTCCGAATGACTAAGAAGATAGATTATTCCACAATCAAGGCTACTCCCAAAAAGCACGCGTGGAAACCCACCCCGCGATGTAACAACCTCACCCCCGCAGCTGGCAGATCGGGCAGATGTCTGCCGAGTCATTTTAGATGTTTGGCTACGTGGGGAAATTCTGCTGCCAAACCCTTTACCTTTAAAGATTTGCTCTGAATGAGCCTCTAAAGTCAGCAGCCGGTCTCCACCACGGGAGTGTTAAACTCTGGTGAAAGTGAGAGAAACTTAGATGACGGGTTCAGAGGGAGTCCCAGAGAGCAAGCTGACCCTTTGCTGGCTGTCTGAAATGCTCTTGGGGTGGGCGTTTGGAGGATGGTCATCCCGTGTGTCGGGGAAAAGGGACGAAGCCCCTGTTTCTTAGTGCTGAGGCAGATTGTGCAGGAACCACAGGGGAGGCGGTGGCAGGAATGACAGGGCAGGCTGTGGCAGGAACGGCAGGGGAGGCTATGGCAGGAACCACAGGGGAGGCTGTGGCAGGAATGACAGGGGAGGCTGTGGCAGGAACCACAGGGCAGGCTGTGGCAGGAACGGCAGGGCAGGCTGTGGCAGGAATGACGGGAGGCTGTGGCAGGAATGACGGGGGAGGCTGTGGCAGGAATGACGGGGGAGGCTGTGGCAGGAACCACAGGGGAGGCTGTGGCAGGAATGACAGGGCAGGCTGTGGCAGGAACGGCAGGGGAGGCTGTGGCAGGAATGACAGGGCAGGCTGTGGCAGGAACGGCAGGGGAGGCTGTGGCAGGAATGACAGGGGAGGCTGTGGCATGCTCCAACCGTGGTCCCTCTGTCCCAGAGTTCAGACTTCAGAAAGCCAGAGAAGATTGCTCTAGAGAGGAGGTGACCATGGGCAACTTTCCCTCAGCTTCCCAGAGGAGCCAGCCAGAATGAAAGGATGGATATCAGGGTTGGAAGACACCGGGTAAGGAAGAAAGCCAGCCCTATCAGTGTCCCCAAGACAAGACCTGAGAGAGTAGGTGTCAAGGAAATGCCAGAGCGGAAGCTGGTCCTTACCCAGGACTGCCATCTTCTGGTTAGTATCTTCAACGAATTCCACATCATCTGGAATCGTTTTGTCAGAGAGAGGGAGATCAAGATAAAACAAATGCCACAAGCTCAGGGCCTCTGAGCTGTGAGAACCTGAGTGTCAGGGAGACCTTTGTAGACAAGGGTGCAGAGGGTCTCCCAGGAATTGTGTGACTGAGGATCATTGGACCTAAGCAGGATATGGTCTGTGAAGGTTCCGGAATCAGTGTCATAACAGAGTCATAGAACTCATGCGGGGGGTGGGGGTGGGGGGATAGGGTGGGGTGGGGGTGGGGGTGGGCAAGGGAAGTTCCTAGAGGTAAGGGCTCCCGAGAGGCCGGACTTAAGAACACGCTGGTGCATGTTGAACTCCCATATGAAACTCATACTATTGGCCTTTACAATAATTTCTAATGGTCTGAACAATTTGGCTCTAGAAATCGTGTCTATTCATGTTGGGAACCCTTGGCTTTAAGATGTCTCATTGTTAAAAAGGCAACACTTCCTCTATTCAAAAACAAGAGCCTTCAGATGAAGATGAACAAGGGAAGCACGCGCTTTGAGGCAGATGACAGATGGGGTGTGTGCGGTACAGAAGACTAAGCCACCAGATGGGGTTCCACACGCCTGGGTTGGTAACAAAGTACTAAGTACCAAGTACCTCTTGCTGAGTCTGTTAGCTCAAGGCTGTGCAGTGGCAGCTTAAAGCATACAAACACCCCCAGTAACCTTCATACCCCAGTAATCTTCATACCCCAGTAACCTTCATACCCCAGTAATCTTCATACCCCAGTAACCTTCATACCCCAGTAACCTTCATACCCCAGTAACCTTCATACCCCAGTAACCTTCATACCCCAGAAACTTTCATACCCCAGAAACCTTCATACCCCAGTAACCTTCATACTCCAGTAACCTTCATACCCCAGTAACCTTCATACCCCAGTAACCTTCATACTCCAGTAATCTTCATACCCCAGTAACCTTCATACCCCAGAAACTTTCATACCCCAGTAACCTTCATACCCCAGTAACCTTCATACTCCAGTAACCTTCATACCCCAGTAACCTTCATACTCCAGTAATCTTCATACCCCAGTAACCTTCATACCCCAGAAACTTTCATACCCCAGTAACCTTCATACCCCAGTAACCTTCATACTCCAGTAATCTTCATACCCCAGTAACCTTCATACCCCAGTAACCTTCATACCCCAGTAACCTTCATACCCCAGTAACCTTCATACCCCAGTAACCTTCATACCCCAGTAATCTTCATACCCCAGTAATCTTCATACCCCAGTAACCTTCATACCCCAGTAACCTTCATACCCCAGTAACCTTCATACCCCAGTAACCTTCATACCCCAGTAATCTTCATACCCCAGTAACCTTCATACCCCAGTAACCTTCATATCCCAGTAATCTTCATACCCCAGTAACCTTCATACCCCCCAGTAATCTTCATACCCCAGTAATCTTCATACCCCCCAGTAATCTTCATACCCCAGAAACCTTCATACCCCCCAGTAACCTTCATACCCCAGTAACCTTTCAAGATGGCAGACACCAGAAGTTGCCTTACCAGCAAATGACTGGGCTTCTGACCACAAAGCTCAGGTGATTCGCACAAAGCCATGCTTTCCTTCAGTGTTGAAGACTCACTGTCTGAAGAGGTGTTTCCTAGCTAGGGTAAGCAGCCAGTCCTAGAAGCGTCAGATGCCCCCCCCAGGACTGGGCAGTACTGGTTTGCTTTGTCAACCTTTGAGGCTTACAATCCCTTACTAATTTTTTATGGCGTAAATCGACGGGAAAGTTATTTAAAAGTCTCATGTCTACAAATTTAAATCACTAGAATTTAAACAGTAATTTCAAAGCTTTGTTAAAACTTTGGCATGGGCCCATATAAAGTTATTAGGACATGATGTGGGTGGTGTACGTGTGTGAGGTGTGAGCACAGTGTGTGTGTGTGTGTGTGTGTGTGTGTGTGTGTGTGTGTGAGCACCCGAGTGCTGGTGTGTGGAGGCCAAACGAAGGCGTCCTCATTGTTCTCCACCCTTTTCCTCTGAGTCTTCAGGTTTTTAGGCTAGGTCGGCAGTTGGAAAGCCCCAGCAATCCCCCGGTCCCTGCTGAGGTTGGAGGTGCACAGGCCCACAGCGGACTTGTTCTGTTGGTGCTGGGATGGAAACCATGCTTGTACAGCAGGTGCTTCTATTAGCCACACCATCTCTCTAGCCCCTCAACCACATAACCTTGTCTGTGGTAACAGCACAACATAATAGAGTTAGGATTTGTTGGCTACCTCGGTTTGGTGTCCAAGCTTCAGAGTTTGAGTTTCTCTAGTCTGTTTTTTAAATCTTTTACCGGTGTGATCTAGAGCTTTAAAAAGGGAGCCTGTACTATGGTGACTGGCAGACCTGCACAGGGAGGGCACCTGCTGTTTTTGGGGGGCAGAGAACGAGGGTGCAGGTAACCCAGTATCAGCGAGGTGGAGAGATCCCCTCCCGCAGGGGCCAGTGACCTCCCAGGAGTCAGTCCCTCAGGAGCTGTTCTGCAGGGTCCTCGGTCTTCATACCAGTTCCTAACCCCTAAGGACCTTACGGTGAGTGCCACACAGACTCCATCAGCTGCTGGGTGCCAGGGCTCTCTCTGAGGAACCCGCTGCAGAGAAGCCTTGCAGATCTAACTGCCTGTAGCCTGTGGCCCTCAGGACCAATTTCCTCTCCCCTCCTTGGAGAGAAGAGAACAAGGGAGAAAAGAGAGAGACACGCTTGGGGCCAGAAGCCGGGGAAGACACAGGAAGGAGGAAAAGTAGGACACACAGAAAGAAAGGTAAAACAAACAAACAAACAAACAAAAAAACCCCAAAAAAACCTCAAGGCAAAATGTAGATAAACAGATTAAAATAAGAGCTGAGCTAAGGCCGAGCATTCATAACTAATAGTAAGTCTTCATGTCGTGATTTGGGAGCTGGTTGGTGGCACAAAGGAAACCCAGGTGTGCTTCCCCCATGAGACATACATCTTCACAGCTGTGAGAATTCCAGCTCCCTCCCTGAGCGTCCACGGCAGTTCTGTGTCTGATCTCAGTGTGCTGTGCCAAAGGATATAAAACCAGGTAAACTGAGTCAGAGACACCGGAAAGAGGAGCCCGGCCTCCGGCTGATGCCCCAGAGGTGAACACATCCCTCAGTGTGGCACAGAAAGTCAGAGAGAACCGCTCCAGTCTGGCTCAGACTCCTGCTCTCAGGACTTCAACCGAAGCCTGGCGGGACGCCACCCTCTCCCCCCACCCCAGGATGCCCGGATGTTATGGAGTCGTCTTGTTGAACGCTGTGAAGATGGATTTCTCTCACTGCCTTAATATAAAGAGCTGGTGACCAATAGCTCGGCAGGGAGAGGTAAGATGGGACTTGTGGATGGGCACGGGGAAGGGCAGGGTGTCCAGGAGACACTGAAGAAGAAAGATGAATTTCTTGTGCTGGAAAAAAAAAAGGGTACTGAGCCACGGGTAGTTACACAGATAAGAAATGCGACTTAAAGCTGTAAGAGAGCTGGTTAGTAACAAGCCTAAGCTATCGGCTGAGCTTTATAATAATGAGTCTCTGTGTCAGTTATCGGGGAGCTGGTGGTCCCGACAAGAACTCAGCATACACCCAGCCTCTGCTTTGAGTGTCTTCCCTTAGGGACTGGGCTGTAAATAACCATGGGGACCCTCGACTGAGCTTCCAGAGTCAACCACAGCCCAGGGTCCGGGCTGGAAACACCCACCCACCCCCATGACTATCCTTCAGTTTCCTTTAGCTTGTCAGACATTTCCCTAACTGAAGAAGCACAGATTCCACTGTCCAATCAAGAGCTGGCATTCGGCTGCATCATCAGTTACCAGGGGAAGCTGCTCCTGGAGACAGCACCCAGTCTTTTCCAGCTCTAGGGAATGTGAGAGACGGGGCGACTTCCCCTGAAGCGGGCACACTTGCGTCACCTTGGACATCTCCACCATGAGGCTGAGGGGCAGCAAGTGCCAGGTTAAAGGTTCCTGGCTGGCAGTCACCTTCAGTCACCTCCTTTGCTCCCACAGGCTTCAGACACACAGTTGAGCCTGCAGCAGCCCTGTGTAGGAGGTGAGCGCTCCCCAGTGCAGAGTGATGGATGAATGAGGGACCACAGCGGAGCTGGCTCAGCAATGCGGCCTGATTAATGTCTCAGCTGCAACTGGATCAATCAGTAAAAACACCAAATAGAAAAGAGATTGCTGGTTCCAAAGAGGACCCTCATACTGAAATTCTAACTAGCAACTGGTGATGCTGCTCACATCTGATGCTGATTGGCTCCTCAGCACTGACCTTACTCAACTCAGCACCAAAGCGGTGGATCCCCTGTTTCTACTGACTTGGGTGTAGATGGAGAGGGGAGATAGTTTTCGGGGTGTGAGACCACCTCCTCCTCCTCCTCCACCATGATGGGTCTGCGGCTCCCCAGAGGCCCCTGTGTGGCAGCTGCGGGCCTGATGCTGATGGCGCTGATCCCTCCGGTGGCTTTGGTCAGGGACCCCCGACGTAAGTGCACGCCTCAGGGGCCGGGCTGCTGGGGGTGAGGGAAGGAAGGTCCAACTTTCACACTGTCCAGGTCAAGCCCCTTGAATCCTCTGATATTTTCTCTGACCATCCACAGTCCTTACATGACATCCAAACTATTTCCCCCAGTAGGAGTCTGGATGTTTGCTCTTTCAGATCTGTGTGAGAGCCCCCCGCCCCCCACTCAATATCAGTCACTGCCTTTCAGTTTCTTCCAGTAACGTCTCTGGCCTCGTGTCACATTCCCTCAGGGCCTGGAGGTTGATGAGTCCTGATGTTAAATTAGCCTCGTGCACAGGGCTTGCTGAGCTTCCTGTGTGGAAATTCTGCTGGGAGGTGGGTCGGGTTTGCTTCCTCCCTGGGAGCGCAGGGCAGCTAAGCCGTAGAGATGACAGGGCTCCGTGAGCTGTGAGCTGTTCTTCGGGGAGCCTGGGGGAGGGTTAGAGCCCAGTTTGTTTTTGTTTTCACTCACCCGTATTTTAATTTTTAATTTTTCTCCTACATTCCCTGGCCCTGGGACCGTGGAAGAGGATTGAATCTCATCACCCCTCCCTGCAGGTCAGATTTGACAAATGAACTTGGCATCTGACTTTAAAAAGACCTGGTGTGTGAATCCTCTGGGTCTGCAGTTTAGATAAGAGACTGTGGGTCAGTGTTGGGATGGTGGTTTTCATTTCCGGGAGCTTCTCCAGTTTCCTACTATTTAGGAAAAGTCCAAAGGCCCACGTCAACCACAAACAAGGCTCTTGAGTCCTTGGCTCCTTGTGATCCCTACAGCTCATCCCTCCCCTTCCCCCCTCACAGAGTGAGATCCATTGTTCTGTTCCCTTGAGTAAGTTCATGAACTCTCTCAAGATTTTATGCATGGGTGTCACTGTAAAGAGAAGCCTTTTCCTTGTGAGAAGCCTTCCCACCAGCCTGGCTCTAGAGCCACATCAGTCCCAAATAAACACACAGGAGGCTATATTAATTATGAAGCTGTTGGCTTTGCTTGTTTCTTACTGGCTAGCTCTGACTTAAGTAATTACCCCATAATTGTTAATCTAAGTATTTCTCTTACCGGAGAAGTTTCCGGGCTTCCTACCCCATGGTGTTACATCTCGACTTCTGTGTTTCTCCTTCCCAGAGTTCTCCTGGACTCCTAGTCCCACCTATCTAGATTCCTATTGGCCAGCAGTGCTTTATTGACATAGGACTTCCCCAACATGTTACCTCCCTAACTCCTTGTCATCACCACCTTTCCTGTCTGAGATCAACTTAGCCGTCCTTGGCACTTAGCTGCCACCCCCCAGAGAGCTCCTCTGGTCCCTCCGTCACTCCAGTCTCCCTGCCAACAGAGCCCCGCCCTTCACTCCTGACATTTCTCATTCTGGAATACTTTCTCCACCGTGTCCTTTTGGTTTTTCCGCCTTCAGAATTTTAAGAGAGAGGAGGTCATTTTTCTCCTCTCTAGAGGAGGCTGGCTCGTGGCTGGCTCTAAGGAGCATTTGACAGAATATTCTAGAGAGGGTCAAGAGGTTTGAGTGTGAAGGTGGTGGCCAGGGTGAGGCACAGCCTCGGGCAGGGTTGTGTGTGGTCTCCATTGCAGCCCTGTGGTTGAGCTCAGGACATTGTCAGCATGGGTTCAGAAGGTGTCCCTGCTCCAAGGCCCCTCTGGCTCTGAAATAACAGCGCTGCACCCATCTGGGTGCCGGCCTTTGAGGAAGGGACCTGACTGCAAGCACCACCACCAGTCTCTTCCGGCTGGCCATGGCAGCGTTGTTCTGTCTTGTTTTAAACCCCATCCCCTGGACCGTTCTTCTCTTCTGTGGGTCAGCAGCAACACTTCCGGTCTCCTTGAGCAGCGGGAGGCAGAGGGGACGTCCCTGCCATTATTCAGAAGGTTTTAACTTTTGGGACATGCCCTTTGACAGGTCTGGAGCTCGCCAAGCAGAGTAGGCTAGGCTAGCCGCCTGCGGGACTCCTGGGTCCTCCTCTGTGTCCCCATCACAGGGCTACAGGTGTGGGCTCTGGGGATCAAACTCAGATTCACAGGCTCACAAGGCCAGCGCTCTACCCTTGACCCATCCCGACAGCCTCAGCAGAGATGTCTTCTTGGCCAGGAGTGCGAGAAGTGGGGAGACAGAATGACACACCCACTTCTCCATCCACCCTTTTGGGAGCTGGAGGTCATAGACAAGAAATGGGGAGTGGGCTAATAAAAGGTGGAGTATTTGTGCTTTTTCTGGAAGGTAGGTTTTCCCAGAGTTTGAGTCCTTTGCTTTTCTTTTATGGCTTAAGAGAGAGAGAGAGAAAGAGAGAGAGAGAGAGACAGAGACAGAGAGAGACAGAGAGACAGAGACAGAGACAGAGAGAGGCAGAGAGAGGGAAGTGTAGGCAGAGGAGGTTCAGGGCATTCACGCTCTGCTGGTTTGGGTACCCGAAGAGGGACTTACGGGTTTCAGATGTCTGGTCCCTGAGAGAGAGCCGCTTAGGCAGGCGACACACGTGTCTCCTCCACAGCACGTTTCTTGCAACAAGTCAAGAGTGAATGCCGTTTCTCCAATGGGACGGAGCGGGTGCAGTACTTACAGCGACACATCTACAACCAGGAGGAGCACTTGCGATTTGACAGCAGTGTGGGCGAGTACCGCGCACTGACTAAGTTGGGAAAGATCCAAGCTGAGTACTGGAACAGCCAGAAGGACTTCCTGGAGCAGAAGCCGGCCAAGGTGGACACGTTCTGCAGATTCAACTACGCCATTGTGGGGCTATTGACTGTGCAACAGAGAGGTGAGGAAGGGGGGAGGGAGGGAGAGGACAGAGAGAGGGGGATGGGCAGGGGAGGGGCTAGAGAGAGGGGGAGGGAGAGGACAGAGAGAGGGGGATGGGCAGGGGAGGGGCTAGAGAGAGGGGGAGGGAGAGGAGATAGAAGGGGAGGGGGAAAACAGAAGAGGGGAGGGAGGGGAGAGAGAGAGGGAGAGGGGGAGGGAGAGGACAGAGAGAGAGAGAGGGACTGAGAGGGAGAGGGGGAGGGGGAAAACAGGAGAGGGGAGGGAGGGGAGAGGAGGAGAAGACAGAGAGAGAAGAGGGAGGGAGGAGGAGGAGGAGAGAGAGATCTCTCACACACATATTTAGATAGATGTAGATATAGATAGGACAGAGATGTTTCCAGCAAGATGAGATGCACTTTTAAGTCCATACTTAGAAAATATCCAGGGACATTTAAAATATTGAGCTTGTGACTATGGTGACATCAGCAATACTTTATTAGAGCTAGATTAATACCTTATTAGAACTCCACTGATTAATGTTAAAACTCTGAACTTTTTGTTGTTGTTTCCTTCCCTTTTAAAAATTTTTTTATTATTTTAATTTTAAATAGCTTGTTTCACATGCCAATCCCAGTTCCCTCTCCCTCCCCTCCTCCCGCATCCCCCATCCCCCCACCCCCCATCCTCCCACCCTATTGCCAATTCCTTCCGCATAGGGGATATCTAGAGTCTGTCATTTCACTCAGGGTAGGGTCCAGGCACTCCCCTAAGAGACCAGGCAGAGAGAGCAACCCTCTTTGTGTTATGGGCACAAGATGTCTGTTAGTATTCGAGGGATAAACACTGATCCACTGCTCAGGACCCCATAGGTAGCCCAGGCCTCCACATTGACTCTCACATTCAGGGGGTCTGGATCGGTCCCATGCTGGCCTCCCAGCTGTTGGTCTGGAGTCCAAGAGCTCTCCCCTGTTCAGATCAACTGTCTCTGCTGGTTTTTCCAGCCCATTCTTTGCCAAATTGCTCATCGCTCCTCTCTCTCTGTCACTGGGTTCCTTGGGTTCAGTTCAGTATTTAACTGTGGGTGTTTGCCTCTGCTTCCATCAGTCATTGGATGAAGGCTCCAGGATGGTTATAGACATCAAGTTCATTATTAGGAATGGGCATTCGAGGTAGTCTCTCCACTATTGCTTAGCTTGCCAGTTGGTATCATTTCTTTAGATCACTAGAGGTCACAATGGTGCCTGATCTGTCTTCTAACCTATGATTCCCTGTTCCCCCATCCTACCCTCCCAGTCGACCTTCCTGTTCCCCCACGATCTACTCTCTCTTCCTCTTATCCCCCTCTTTATTTCCCAGGTCCCCCTCCCCCCCACCCCTCGAAGTGTTCCCCATCTGTTCAGAGGATCTTGCCTCATTTCTCTTCTCTTGGGTACCATGCATATCTTTTAGGTTCTTTCCTGTTTCCCAGACTCTCTGTCAGTAGAAGTGCAGACTGGCACTCTCCTGATCCATGTCTAAAATCCATATATGAGTGAGTACATACCATGTTTGTCTTTTTGTGACTGGGTTACCTCACTCAGGATGGTTTCTTCCAGTGCTATCCATTTACATGCGAATTTCAAGATTCCATTATTTTTTTCTGCTGAGTAGTACTCCATTGTGTAAATGTACCACATTTTCTCTATCCACTCTTCAGTTGAGGGGCATCTAGGTTGCTTCCAGGTTCCGGCTATTACAAATAATGCTGCTATGAACATAGAGGAGCAGATGCCCTTGTTGTATGAATTTGCCTCTTTTGGATATATGCCTAAGAGTGGAATTGCTGGGTCTTGTGGTAGATTGATTCCCATTTTTCTGAGGAATCTCCATACTGCTTTCCAAAGTGGCTGTACAAGTTGACACTCCCACCAGCAGTGGAGGAGTGTTCCCCTCTCTCCACATCCTCTCCAGCATAGATTGTCTTCTGTGTTTTTGATTTTAGCCATTCTGACAGGAGTAAGATGGCATCTCAAAGTTGTTTTGATTTGCATGTCCCTATTGGCTAAGGATGTTGAGCACTTTCTTAAGTGTCTCTTGGCCATTTTGGCCTCCTCTGTTGAGAATTCTCTGTTTAGTTTTGTACCCCACCTTTTAATTGGATCCTTTGGTGTTTTGGAGACTTGCTTCTTGAGTTCTTTGTAACTTTTGGAGATTAGCCCTCTGTCAGATGTGGGGTTAGTGAATATTTTTTCCCAACCTGTGGACTGCCTTTTTGTCTTGTTGACTGTGTCCTTTGCCTTACAGAAGCTTTTTACTTTCATTAGGTCCCATTTGTTAATTGTCGATCTCAGTGTCTGTGCCACTGCTGTTATGTTCAGGAAGTGGTCTCCTGTACCAACTCGTTGAAGAGTATCTCCTACTTTTTCTTCTAAAAGTTTCAGTGTGGCTGGATTTATGTTGAGATCTTTGATCCATTTGGACTTAAGTTTTGTACAAGGTGATAAACATGGATCTATCTGCAGTCTTCTGCATACCAGTACCCAGTTATGCCAGCACCATTTGTTGAAGATGCTTTCTTTTTTCCATTGTATAGTTTTAGCGTCTTTGTCAAAAATCAGGTGTTCATAGGAGTGTGGGTTAAAATAAGGGGTTTCAATTCGGTTCCATTGGTCTACCTGCCTATTTTTGTGCCAATACCAAGCTGTTTTCAGGACTATAGCTCTATAATAGAGCTTGAAGTCAGGTATGGTGATGCCTCCTGGAGTTCCTTTATTGTATAGGGTTGTTTTGGCTATCCTGGGCCTTTTGTTTTTCCATATAAAGTTGATTAATGTTCTTTCCAGGTCTGTGAATAATTGTGCCGGAATTTTGATAGGGATTGCATTGAATCTGTAGACTGCTTTTGGCAAGATTGCCATTTTTATTATGTTGATCCTACCAATCCAAGAGCATGGGAGATCTTTCCATTTTCTGGTATCCTCCTTGATTTCTTTCTTTAAAGACTCAAAGTTCTTGATATACAGGTCTTTCACTTCTTTGGTTAACATTATCCCCAGATATTTGATGCTGTTTATGGCTACTGTAAAGGGTGAGGGTTCTTTGTTTTCTTTCTCAGTCACTTCATCGTCTGTATATAATAGGGTCACTGATTTTTTTTGAGTTTACCTTGTATCCTGCCACTTTGCTGAAGGTGTTTATCAGCTCTAGGAGTTCCCTTGCGGAGTTTTTTGGGTCATTTATATAAACTATCATATCATCTGCAAATAGTGAAAGTTTGACTTCTTCTTTTCCTATTTGTATCCCCTTGATCTCCTTTTGTTGTCTTATTGCTGTAGCCAGAACTTCAAGTACAATATTGAAGAGATATGGAGAGAGTGGGCAGCCTCGTCTTGTTCCTGATTTTAGAGGAATTGCATTGAGTTTCTCTCCATTTAGTTTGATGTTAGCTGTTGGTTTACTATATATTGCTTTTATTATATTCATGTATGTTCCTGTTATCCCTGATCTCTCTAGGACCTTTATCATGAAGGGGTGCTGGATTTTGTCAAAGGCTTTTTCAGCATCTAGTGAAATGATCATGTGGTTTTTCTTTCGAAGTTTGTTTATATGGTGGATTACATTGATAGATTTTCTAATGTTGAACCATCCCTGCATTCCTGGGATGAAGCCTACTTGATCATGGTGGATGATTTTTCTGATGTTTTCTTGAATCCTGTTTGCTAATATTTTATTGAGTATTTTTGCATCGATGTTCATGAGGGAAATTGGTCTATAGTTCTCTTTCTTAGTTGTGTCTTTGTGTGGTTTGGGTATCAAGGTAATTGTAGCCTCATAAAAAGAGTTTGGCAGTGAGCCTCCTGCTTCTATTGTGTGGAATACTTTGAGGAGTATTGGAATTAACTCTTCTTTGAATTTCTGGTAGAATTCTGCACTGAAGCCATTTGGGCTTGGGCTTTTTTTGTTTGGGAGACTTTTGATGACTGCTTTTATTTCATTAAGGGTTATAGGTCTGTTTAGATTGTTTATCTTCTCTTGATTTAGTTTTGGCAAGTGATATCTATCCAGGAAATTGCCCATTTCCTTTAAATTTTCAAATTTTGTGGAGTACAGATTTTCAAAGTATGCCCTGATGATTTTCTGGATTTCCTCAGAGTCTGTTGTTATGTCCCCTTTTTCATTTCTGATTTTGTTAATTAGCATGCTCTCTCTCTGTCTTTTGGTTATTTTGGACAGAGGTTTGTCTATTTTGTTGATTTTCTCAAAGAACCAACTCTTTGTTTCATTGATTCTTCTCAATGTTCTCCTGGTTTCTACTTGATTGAGTTCAGCCCTCAATTTGATTATTTCCTGGCTTCTGCTCCTCCTGGATGAGTTTGCTTCTTTTTGTTCTAGAACGTTCAGCTGTGCTATTAATTCTCTAGTATGACTGTTCTCCAGTTTCTTCATGTGGACACTTAGTGCTATGAACTTTCCTCTCAGCACTGCTTTCAAAGTGTCCCATAAGTTTGTGTATGTTGTGTCTTCATTCTCATTGAATTTCAGGAAGTCTTTAATTTCTTTTTTTATTTCTTCCTTTACCCAGGGATGGTGCAATTGTGCATTGTTCAATTTCCATGAGTTTGTAGGGTTTCTGCGATTTGTGTTATTGTTGAATTCTAATTTTAATGCATGGTGGTCTGATAAGATACAGGGGGTTATTCCAATTTTTTGTGTCTGTGGAGATTTGCTGTGTTTCCTATTATGTGGTCAATTTTAGAGAAGGTTCCATGTGGCGCCGAGAAGAAGGTATATCCCTTTGTGTTTGGGTGGAATGTTCTATAGATGTCTGTTAAACCCAGTTGGGTCATAACTTCTATTAGTTCTTTTGTTTCTTTGTTAAGTTTCTGTCTGGAGGTCCTGTCTAGCGGTGAGAGCGGAGTGTTGAAGTCTCCTACTATTAGTGTGTGAGAGTTTATGTGCAATTTGAGCTTTAGTAATGTTTCTTTCACAAATGTAGGTGCCTTTGTATTTGGGGCGTAGATATTTAAAATTGAGACTTCATCTTGATGGACTTTTCCTTTGATGAATATGAAATGTCCTTCTTCATCTCTTTTGATTGATTTTAATTTGAATTCTAGTTTGTTAAATATTAGGATTGCTACACCCGCTTGTTTCTTGGGTCCGTTTGATTGGAAAATCTTTTCCCAACCTTTACTCTGAGATACTGTCTGTCTTTGATGTTGAGATGTGTTTCTTGTTTGCAGCAGAAGGATGGGTTCTGTCTTCGTATCCATTCTGCTAGTCTGTGTCTTTTTATAGGCAAGTTGAGGCCATTGACATTGAGGGATATCAATGACCATTGATTGATGATTCTTGTTTGTGCTTGGTTTATTGGTAGTGAAGTTATTTTGTGTAGTTTCTCCTGCCTTTTTCTTTTGGTGTTAAGTAAAGTGGGATTATATATTGCCTGTGTCTTTGTGAGTGTAGTTATCTTCCTTGGATCTAAGTTTTCCTTCTAGCACTTTCTGTAGAGCTGGATTCATGGACACGTACTGTTTAAATCTGGCTTTGTCATGGAATATTTTGTTTTCTCCATCTATGGTAATTGAAAGCTTTGCTGGATATAGTAGGCTGGGCTGGCATCCTTGTTCCCTTAGCGTTTGTAGGACATCTGTCCAGGATCTTCTGGCTTTCATCGTTTCCATTGAGAAGTCAGGTGTAATTCGGATAGGTCTGCCTTTATATGTTACTTGGCCTTTTTCTTTAGCTGCTCTTAATATTTTCTCTTTATTCTGTAGGTTTGATGTTTTGATTATTATATGGTGAGGTGACTTCTTTTTCTGGTCCAGCCTATTTGGTGTTCTGTAAGATTCTTGTATTTTCATAGGCATATCCTTCTTTAGGTTAGGGAAGTTTTCTTCTATGATTTTGTTGAGTATGTTTTCTGTACCTTTGAGCTGTATTTCTTCACCTTCTTCTATACCTATTATCTCAGGTTTGGCTTCTTCATGGTGTCCCATATTTCCTGGATATTTTGTGTTAGGGATTTATTGGTTTTGAGATTTTCTTTTGTTGACTACTGTATATCCTCTAATGAGTCTTCAACACCTGAGATTCTCTCTTCTATCTCTTGTATTCTATTGGTGATACTTGCATCTGTAGTTCCTGATCATTTACCCAGCTTTTCCATTTCCAGCATCCCCTCCTTCTGCGTTTTCTTTATTGTTTCTATTTCAGCTTTCAATCCTTCAACTCTTTGAGTTGAAGCCTTCATTTGTTTGGTTGTTTTTTCTTGGTACTCTTTAGATTCTTTGAGAGATTTGTTTATTTCTTGAATTTTCCCCATTTCATGGATTTTTTGTTTGTTTTTTCTTCTATTTCTTTAAGGGATTTCCTCGTTTCTTCTTTGAGGGTCTCTATCATCTTCATAAAATAATTTTTAAGGTCTGTCTCCTCTGCTTCATCTATGTAGTGCTTTTCAGGTCTTGCTGGTGTTGGATCCCTAGATTCTGGTGGAGTCATGTTGGTCTTTCTATTGCTGAGTGAGCTCTTATTCTGTCTTCTTCCCATATCTTCTTCCAGTGGGGGCTGGTGGGGTCTTTCTGTCTCCACTGGTCTCCTTCCTTCCTGAAGCTGAAGCTGGGATCGCTAGAGTTTGGGGCCTGGAAGGGCTGACTGGGGTCACTGGAGTTTGGGGCCTGGAAGGGCTGATGTCTTTCCTGTGTGGGTGGGTCTTCTGGATGCCAGGAGCGGCCCCGGAAGATCGACGGGATGGGTGTTGGGCGGAGGATGGGGAGTGTCCCCCGGAGACCGAAGCTCACCTGGCTGGCTGGGATCGACAGAGTTTGGGGCCTGGAAGGCTCATTTTGTTTTGTTTTGCTTTTGAGACAGGGTTTCTCTTCATAGCCCTGACTGTTCTGGAATTCTCTCTGTAGACCAGGCTAGCCTCAAACTCGGAGATTCACGTGCCCCTGCTTCCAGAGTGCTGGGAATAAAGGTGTGCACCACCATCACTACCCCCACCCAAAACTCTTGAACTTTTGAAGTCTTCACACAACAGTAGCATAGAGAGGGAAAGAAGTCTGAAACGTCTCTTACTTTCCCGAAGCTAGAAGTCTGAAACGTCTCTTACTTTCCCGAAGCTTCCTTTACATCTTACGCTTACAAACTACCTTCTTAGATCCTCACGTCTCACTTAAATGTCAGATCTTTTATTTTCATCCCACGAGACACAGACAGTCGGTTAATGAGAGCAGCCACTGCAGAAGCAAGGTCTTCTAAGTGAAGGGTTAGTAAAATGTTTCATTGAAATCTGTTTTGTGAGTTTATCTTCCAGTGTGAGGCCAGCAGAGTAAATTGTTCTGCCCGCCTTTCTCAGAGGCAAACAGAACGGCCCTATGAAGTGAGGCCTTGGTTTTTACCTATGATATGAACTGAGCAGGCAGCTGTGGCCTTGCGGGGGAGGGGCAGGCCAAACCGTTAGAGCTATAGTTAGCTGGCAACATTGCTTCTTTGCCCAGTGGTTAGTGTTACCACAACCCCGGAGGAGTTGCCTGCCTATGCCCTGTGGATTTCATGGAGAACTTAGGGTTGCCTCTAGGAGCTCTCACTTCTGTCTATCAGGAGGCATATTAATTTTTTAATTAAACATTTAACGTGCCTCTGAGGACTTTGAGGACCATGTATCAAGTCTACCTGATTTTAAGCAAACTAATTGTTTTTAGTTACTTGCTTTAGGATTAACCCTATGGACATATATAGGAGGCTGAATAGAGCTTGTCCCTGATCATTTATTGTCTTCAACAGCTTACAACCACTTAACAGCCTTTATGAGATTAGGTCTTTATAATTTTATCCCTGTTAGGTCTGGGCTTTGAAAATTTGTCTTGAAGCTGGACAGTGGTGGTATATACCTTATTCTCAGCAACGGGAGGCAGAGGCAGGTGAGTCTCCATGTTTGAGGCCAGCCTGGTCTACAGAGTGCATTCCAGGATAGCCAAGGCTACACAGAGAAACTCTGTCTTGAAAAACAAACAAAAAACAAGAACCAAAAACTTAACGGAAGATCCTTTAGCATCAAATAAAACCTTAAATCATAGAGAAACTGGGAGCTTTACAGGACCATAAATACAGCTCACATAGAGACTGGAAACCTTACTTTTCCAACAAGAAGAGACAGACCCTAGGGACACCCGTGTGTAATTCAGCTGTTAGGGAAAATTCCACAGCTGGGGATGAGCCTTTCTCTTACCGAAAGGACGTTCACCTCCAGCCGGCGATTCCTCCAGGGTGTGCAGCTGACAGCTACGGTGTGAAAACAGAACCAGAGTCCTGGGACAGCTGTGTTAGAATCTTAGTCACCCTGGAATTCAGCCTGGGTGGATGGAGGCAGACAGACAAACAGCCACCCGGGGAGGACAGCTCCACCCTCATGACTTACTCTCACCCCCTTTCTACTCTAGCTGAGCCCCGGGTGACCGTGTACCCGACAAAGACGCAGCCCCTGGAGCACCACAACCTCCTGGTCTGCTCTGTGAGCGGCTTCTACCCCAGCCACATTGAAATCAGATGGTTCCGGAATGGCCAGGAGGAGAAGGCTGGGGTCGTGTCCACGGGCCTGATCCGGAATGGAGACTGGACCTTCCAGATCCTGGTGATGCTGGAGACGGTTCCTCAGAGTGGAGAGGTTTACACCTGCCAGGTGGAGCATCCCAGCCTGAGCAGCCCTGTCACAGTGGAGTGGAGTGAGTGGGAATCCCCTGTCCCTGGGAGTCCCCGCCCACCAGGGAGGGGTGTGGCTTACCCCGCCTATCAGCTCTCTGCCCACAAACTGTTTGCACTGGTCTGTGCTGACCCCTCCTTCAGCATGGCTCACAGGGGTAGGTGTGTGATCTACAGCACCTTGGCCCCCTGGGAAGAAGTTTTGCCAACACACACTCTTCTGAGCCTTCCAGTGACACCACAGCCCAGGGACCTGCTTGTCCCTGGCTGCAGCCTCTGCCTCTGGCTGGGCTGTGTTTCTGCTGCTGCTCATGGAGATGATGGACAAGGAGCAGCATGGGGTCATGGCTGACCTCAGGGGCGTCCAGTCTCAGCTCTGCCTGTGCTTAGCTCTGTCACCCTCAGGACAGTGCAGCCTCAGAGCTCAGAGGCTTCCTGTCAGCTCAGCTCAGTGTGAACACATAAAGTCTCTTCATGCTGTGACCCTCCTGCTGTTTGATTTCTTTTCAACATCAGCAGGGTGTTCAATTCCTGCTCTTCTAGAAGAGGCTTCTTCCCCAGTCTCTAAGATCTGAGTCTCACGGTCCCAAGGGGAAAAGAAAATTTGTGTGAAAACCTCTAGCCCTGGCTTCATTTCTCAGGGGCACAGTCCACATCTGCACAGAACAAGATGCTCAGTGGAATCGGGGGCTTCGTGCTGGGTCCGCTCTTCTTCGTGCTGGGGCTGTTCATCTACTTCAGGAACCAGAAAGGTAAGGAGCCTGGTGTTGGCTGAGACCCCATAGCATTTCTGGGAAGAGCCATGCTTTGTTCTTGGGATGTCACCGGGTGTGACCTCAGGTTTCAATCAACTCTGTACCCAACAGTCTGGAGTTACTGGATTGAACCCCAAGGAGCGATAACATATAGGGACAGGGAAAGCTAAGACGATTCTGACTTGAGACCGGGGAACAGAGGAAGAGAGAAGGAAGAGGCACTGGGCTGTGTGCCTGAGGCTTCCTGAGCCGTCTCTCTGTCCTCAGCCTGCTCTGTCCCGACTGCTGTGGTCTGTGGTGCCAGAGAAATCCCAGGTGTCAGCTCAGAGTCTGGGGACATGTGTCTGGGGACATGTGTCTGGGGACATGTGTCTGGGGACAGATTTCCCTCCATGCACTTAAGTGTCTATTTTATTCTCTCTTCTAGGACAGTCTGGGCTTCATCTGACAGGCAACACCTTTCAGTCTTCCCTCAGAGACAGATCTGCTTTCCCTACAATGTGGGGCTGGGGCTGATGGGTGAAGAGGAAAACAATGCTGTGGGAAAGGGGGTCTGTGATACTTTGTTCAAGAGAGAAGCCACTTACAGGGGAAGCTGCTAAGCGCTCTGCTGTCCACAACACAGCCAGCATCTAAGAGAGAGTGCGTTTACTTTCTTTCTCCCTTATATCTCTTGCCTATCCACGTCCCTCTGTCCACGTAGGGGCATGGACAGTATCTCGGGTATGTGAGCTCTCCCCTACAATTCCCTTTTTAGTCTAAATAAAAGATTTAGGCTTGATACAAAGCTCAAACATACACAACATATATACAGAGAAAGTGATAAGCAAATTATAATCTATTTATATCCTACCTTAAGCATATCTATCCCATCTAAACCCTAAACCTATATGAAAGAGATGCCCAAATCTGAATACCTCCTTCCAATTCCAACCCTAATTAATTGAAAACTAACCCCATCGGATGTAAACTATCCTGTAATATCAACAGTAGGGAAAGGGGCGTAGTATTCCCAAAATTACTTCCTGCTGAATTGGAACAACGACAACCTCATGGGATCCTCTAGGGAAAAAAATGTTAGTGCAACCAGAGTCTCATATGCATTCAGTCTCTGTTGGCGGGAGATGCTTGATTGAAGCTCTTGATTGAAGTTCTAATGTTGATTGAAGTTCTTGTCTGAGGCTCTGACCAGATTGTAGAAGGTGCACCCTATCAGTTCATATGTCCGGAGTTGTGTAGAGCTATATAGTTCCAAATCCGTTTCAGGATGGTATTTGTCAGTTCAGATGGAATCGTTGAAGTGGGGCTCCATTTTCTTTCCGAGGTTTTTGAAGATTGCTGTCAGGAAATTCCTTGTTCTCTGTGGAAAACTCAAACATTAATGTTAACAGAGCAATTTTCAACTTTTATATGCATGCGTACAGGTAAACACAGCAATAAGGAAGACTTTCAGAGAAAGAACCGAGTATAAACAGATGACAGTTTCTAGATTTTGTTTTTTTCTGTCTTACATCAATGGCTCCTTGATATAATACAGAAATTCTGAATTTTATTTTAACAACATGCTTGGATTTAGAGGAGGACAGCCAAATCCAACTCCAAAGCCTGCTTCAGTTTAAGTGAATTGGGACTAAAAGAGTAGTAAGGAGAAATAGATATTATAAGAACAAAGTTGTGAGAGTCAGACATTGATACCAAACAGATTCTTGTTTGTTTGATGGTCCCTTAGCCATCCTCTCTTCTCTAGGTATCCATATGTTCAGTATCTTTTCGCTGTTTGCTGATGGGTTTTCTTGTGAAGACAAAAACAAGACACTTCCCTTTCCTTTTGTGAGGTTTCCTTACACCTCGGGGATTATGACTTGTGGATGAGCTGTCATTGTTCCTCTTCCCAAGGTTTCTCCTGTTCAGATTGAATCTTGATCAATATTGATAGTATCCAAAGCTTTTCTTCTCCTGCAGAAACAGAGGCAAAACTCCTTCTCCAATATAACACATATCCTGGTTTCCAAACTGAGGTCATACCATCTTTGAAATACACTGGTTGGTTTAGTTCAGAAGTTTTTCCTGTAGTCCAGTGTCTTTCTGCAGCTGTTTGTCCCTTCTCATTAGCATTAGTAAAGTTCAATATTAGTAAAGCATCATGTAATCTGTGTTTGGGGGTCTTTATTCCCACTTGTTGTTTACGAAGCATTTCTTTTCAGGTTTGGTTAGATTTTTTTTTTTTTGGTTTTTCGAGACAGGGTTTCCCTGTGGCTTTGGAGGCTGTCCTAGAACTCGCTTGGTAGACCAGGCTGGTCTCGAACTCACAGTGATCCACCTGCCTCTGCCTCCCGAGGGCTGGGATTAAAGGCGTGTGCCACCACGCCCGGCTTGGTTAGATCTTTCAATCACTGCTTGTCCTGTAGGATTGTAAAGTATACCAGTTATGCCTTTTTATGTTATAATATTTGAAAAACTGTTCCAATTTGCAGGAGACATATGCTGGAGCATTGTCAGTTTTTATTTGTACAGGTATGCTCATAACAGCGATGACCTCTAAAAGGTGTGTGATAACAGAATCAGATTTTTCAGACCTGAGAGCATTAGCCCTTTGGAAGCCTGAAAACATGCCTATGGTATGGTGTACATATTTCAAACTTCCAAATTTTGGAAAGTGAAATATGTCCATTTGCCAAATTACATTCCTACCAATACCCTTGGGATTACTGCCTGCTGGTAATGGAGTTTGATTATAGAATGAACAGGTGGGGCAGTTTTTTACTATTTCCTTGGCTTGTTGCCAAGTGATAGAAAATTCCATCTTTAAGTCTTTCCTGTTAACATGGAATTTCTTATGAAATTGTGAAGCTCCCAACACACTTCCTATTAATAAATGATCAATCTCTAGAAGACCTGGTAGACCCGTATGGGTCTGATGTGTGTTTATATATATATATATATATATATATATATATATATATGTAGGATGAGTTCTATTTCTGATCATTTCCTGTAATTGTAAAAACAATGAGATTAATTCTGTACCATCAGGAACAAATTCTGTAGTCTAGATATGTAAAACGACTCTCTCTGCATACTGAGAATCTGTTGCTATATTGAGAGCCTCTGTAAAGTCTTTAAGTACCATGAGAATGGCGTACAACTCTGCCTTTTGTACAGAGTTGTAAGGGCTTTGAACTACCTTACTTATATTTCCTGATTTATGATCTGCTTTTCCTGACTTGTTTGCATCAGTGTAGAATGTAGGGACTCCAGAGATGGGCGTTTTTCTTGCAATATGTGGAAGGATCCAAACCATTTTCTTTGTGAATTTGATTCTCTCTGTTTTGGCGTAATTGTTACTGATCATTCCCAAAAAGTCACTGCAAGCCCTTTGCCAATATTCATTATCCTTCCATAAGGAGGAAATTTCCTCATTTTTTAAAGATACAATAATCTCTGCTGGGTCTCTTCCAGTCAGTTGATGAAGCCTTAACTTATCTTTCACTATCAAATCAGAGATCTTTTCTATATATGTCTTCAGTTTTTTATCCTGTTTATGTGGCAGAAATACCCATTCTGGTATAATGTCTTCCCTCTGCATTAAAATTCCTGAGGGGTATTCTCTAGATGGTAAAATAACCAGAATGCTGTCCAGTTTTGGATCCACACGATCCACATGTGCTTCTAATATTATCTTTTCTACCCATTCTAATTATTTTTCAGCCTCAGCCGATAATATTCATGGACTCTTTTAGGGTCATTTTCCGGTGTTTTAAATCATGCCCTTCTACTCCGATAATTGTCTGTGGTTGAGAAATTTCTCCTAGTAGTTTTTGAAGATCATTAAGAATCTGGTAATGATCTCTCCTGATCTGTAATTTTTGTGGTCTAATTTTCTGAAGATCTATTTTATAACCTAAATAATTTATAGAATCTCTTCTTTGTATTATTTTTCTGGGTCAATCTGTAATTCCCAGTGAGGCAAAACTTCCTTTGCTGCCTCAAGCATCTTTTCCAACGTTCCTTCCTTCGAATCAGCCAGCAGTATGTCATCCATATAATGGTAAATTATAGATTGCAGAAATAGTTTGTGAATTATTTCCAAAGGTTTTACCACAAAAAACTGGCACAAAGTAGGACTATTTAACAGCCTTTGTTGCAAAACCTTCCATTGAAATCTTCTAACTGGTTGAGAATTGTTATAGGTAGGCACTGTGAAGGCAAATTTTTCCCTATCTTTTTCTTGTAAAGGTATATTGAAGAAGCAATCTTTTAGATCAATGACTATAATAGGCCATCCTTTAGTTATCAAAGAAGGTAAAGAGAGTCCATAGGCTGATTTAGTTTTTTTTTTGTTTTTATGAGACAGGGTTTCTCTGTATTGTTTTCGAGGCTGTGGGTCCAGCCCAGCCTTGAACTCACAGAGATCCGCCTGCCTCTGCCTCCCAAGTGCTGGGATTAAAGGCGTGTGCCACCACCACCCGGCTCTGATTTAGTTTACTGTTGGATGTCAGATCAGTTAGCATCCTCCATTTACCAGACTTCTTTTTGATAACAAAAATAAAAGAATTCCACGGACTGGTGGATTCCTCAATATGTCCAGCATTTGCTGTTTCTGAACCAGCTTTTCTAAAGCCTCTAGCTACTCAGAGATCATAGGCTATTGCCCTACCCATGCAGGTTCATCTGTTAGCCATTTTAAGGGTAGGGCTTTTGGTTCCTCAGTAGGTGTGGCACTGGCATCCTGTTAATGTACAGCCTGTATGTTTGGCATCTTTTACTGTAGTGCCTTACAGTAATTTTTCTACCACAAAGAGCTTGTGTATGATTCCTATCTGATACAGGAGGCATGTTAATCTCTGTATTCCATTGCTGTAATAGATTATGACCCCAGAGATTTATAGCAATATCTATGACATATGGTCTCAGTCTTCCTCTCTGTTCTTCTGGCCCTATACAGCCAAACCATCTTGATCTTTATTTTACTTGAGATAGGGTTCCAATCCCTAAAC